TCGATTTTTTTATAATTTTTGTTTTTTTTAATGGTAATCACTTTATTATTCGAATGACAGTTCTTTTAGCATTGTTGGAAAATTAATAAAGGATAAATATTACCTGAGAATATGAATTTGTCACAAATATATTATTATCACAATCAAGAGGAGGTAGAGATGACGCGTGGATTAAGTCGCTCTCTTAATTAAGATGCTTTCGTGCGGTTTTCGGTATATATCGGAACAGCAGATCAATAACTAACTGTTCATTGCATCCCTAAGACACAACAATCCAACTACCTTTCTGTATATTCTCACAAGTTTGCTCAAACTTATAGGAGAGAAGCTCTATAACACAGTACCTGTTTTACCAAATAGTATCATATAAATAAATAAGAATATGTTGGGAGTATAATAAACAAAAACCAAGCAAGGATGAGAGTTTATTACGCACGCTGAACTTTTATAAGTTTTCTGTGCAATTTTTTTTTTTTTTTTTTTATAATTCTATGGTCAAGTGTATTTCAACAACAAAAGACAACTATCTATTTATAAGAGTAGGTTATAGAAAATATTAATCAGTCTTGAATAATATTTTCGTTGATTACCGGTTGTCCCTAAAAGTTAGTAATAAAATGTTAAGTAACGGTAGGAAAAATTTAAAGGCTAGTTAAATGCATATTAAAATATTAGTACCAAGCTAATTTTGTTTGCAGTGCTGTGATAACCTGACCCAAGCTACGGACCCCCAAACCTCCTTCCCCTATGGGCCTACAAATCTTATGCCAAGAGATCCGATGGCGTCGATTTTCCCCTGAGGAACTCCATAAAAATTTATCCATTTGACTCTCAATTTTCTAAATTGTACCTTTAGGCATAGAAATAGCTACCAGTACATGAATAGGTATACTACTGATCACTGCCCGAAGTAATGTCCATTGCACCCCAAAGGAGAGTAATTTTGCCTTCCATCCACCTATCTTTCGATTAATTTTCATCTCCAAGGGGAAGAAGTAAAGCTAGCGCACTCTTCCTGTAAATAGAGGGACACCCAAATATTGCAGAGGGAACTGAAAATGTCTACATCAGTTATTAGAGAGACAAATACTACAGAGGGATTTTTTGTTTTTTTTTTTGTCCATAGATAATACCCTACAATCCATATCAGTTATTAGACATTAAAAAGTTAACGATAGTAGACATTAAAAAGTTAACGTTAGTAATTAACAAGACATAAAAGAAGATCGTATTATCATGAGAGATTAAATTAATCACCATTATAAAAATGAGAGACTATTCTCGCATTTTCTTATAAAACAAAAAACTCAAATACTCCAAAAAAATGATAATCTTCTATTAGTACAAAAAGCTTACTATCACTGGACCAAAAACTTATTGGTACGGTAGAAAAACTTTAAATGCTAGTTAAATGAATATTAAAATACTAGCGTTGTATATTTAAGAACAAAATGCTTCTCTACATGGATTATGCTTTACAAAGTTGAAAATGAATGTGGTTATAGACAAATTATTTGAAAGTGTATCAACCTTAGGTAGGAAAGATTTTATAACGGTATCAAAAAAAAAATCATGACTCTCTAAAACTATAGTTTTCAATGGATCGAATTTGGACTAGATAATAGTAGATTTGGGTCGAATAAATAAATTGAATCGGATCTTCTAAATTCGAATTGCATCTGGATGCGATCCTAACGAGTTAGAATTATATTAAAAAATCTATTATTTTTGTCATTCGATTTTTTTTCATATATATATATATATATATATATATATATATATATTGGCTACATTTAAAATCATGTTTCAATATAAAATGACTTTCAACTACTAGATGTATGAGAAAATATGTTATGATAATATTTAATATTTAAAATTCAAAATATCTAACCATTAAAATGACCAAAATCAATCAATTTTAACAAAGATTTAGGGTAAATGGCTCAATCTATTTTTATATAATTGGTACAGATCTCTAATTTGTCCTTAATTTTTTAATTGTATAGATTATGTCCCTATACAAATTTAATTCTCCAATATATCCTTCAATCGGGTTTTTTTTATACTCAAATTGATATAATTATAATTTTTCATTCCAAAATTGCCATTGATCTTTACAGGAAATAAATTCGATTTAAAAAAAAGTTAAAATCTTTATTTTTAAAATTTTAATGGGTTGGTAATCTTGAAAATTTTTACTCCTTAAACCTTTTTGAGAAATTTTAAGATTTTTTTTATTATATTCTTATATAATTCAAGGGTAATTTTAAAATAAAAGGTATATTTTTTTCAATTTGAGTGAAAAAAATAATTGGAGGATGCATTGGAGAATTAGGTACTTTACAAGGATATAATAGATACAATAAAAAATATAAAGACATATTGAAAACTTATCTAGTTATATGTATAAGAGTATATTGAGCTATTTATCCAAAATCTATATTAAGGTAAAAAAATAATTTAAATTAGACAATAATTAAAACAAAACTAAAGAAAAATAATAAAAATACCTACTTTAAACACAACTTGATTGTCATGAAAGAAAATTCTAGTCTTTTACAAAGAATAAGTTTGAAATGGACTAAAATTCAAATTGGATCAAAACTGTATAAATTAGAAACACAATTACAACACCAAGCAACAACTCATTAATTAAATTTTTTCATATGTTTATAGGATTTTTTCACAAAATTAATTTGAGACTTGAAAAAAATAATAATAATAATTATCATGTGATTGTTTGAAAAAATAGCCATCAATAGAAAAAAAAATTGTAGAAAGTTATTTAACATTTACAGTAAATAAACCCTAAATCTAAACCTAATCTCTTATCTTTTCTTATTTTTTAATATTTTTTTATCTTTTCAAAATATTATACTTCCTCTGTCTCAAAGAGATTGTTCTTATTTCTACTTCTCTTTGTCTCAAAATAATTGTGCGGTCAAAATATGTAAGTCATGTATTTTACTACAATATCTCGAGTAAATTATAAATTAGTCCCTCATTTTCAGAAATAAATTAATTAATATTTTAAAAAATTAATTATTTAGTCCATTGATCAATATTGACCACACTTAATTTAGTATTTATTTATTTAATAAAAATTAAATAATTAGTTTTTCAAACAAAAAGAACTAATTAATTTATTTTTCAAAACTAGAGGGACTAATTTATAATTTACTCACAATATCCCTGATTAAAATTCATTTATATGAGACCTACAATTAAAAAGGGAGCATTTTTGAAAAAACATGGATAAAAAATAATAACATGACATATTAATTAATGATATTCTTAATATATGTGAAAAGTCATACATGACTAAAAATTTTAAAATACTCAAAGACTAACTATCCATACTTATTTCATGGACTCATTTTGAAAAGAGATATTGATACAAAAAAGAAAAAAAAATCACATCCGAAAACATCCAAAATGATAAAAATAATTCTATATATGCTCTTTTTTTTATAAAAATTTTTTATCTCTCTCTCTCTTTTTTTTTTTTTTTTGAGTGATGATAGTTACTATTTGAGTAACATAAAATTTCTCATATATATATTTTAATGAATGAAGTATTTATTAAAAATAATATTAATATTAATTTTTGATTAAATTATTATCTGATCGAATCAAAGTAGATTCATATTTAACCTACTTAGTAAATTGATTAACAGATTCATATTATAATCAATTCTAATGATAAAAATTACATATCAAATTTATTTAATTACATCAAAATTGAATTGAATTTGGATCAAAATCCGATTCATCAACAACTCTTTAAAACTTTTAAAACATATTTATGCACAATAATTCATAACGATAATCATAACATAGTTATTTCTCATAAAAATAATCCAACAGCATTGTCAAAGAATCTGTTGTAAAGCCTTATGGGTGATCTGTTCCTCACCATCTACCCAATTATCACACCGAAAAGGACAGTTCTACCATCCTTCACGGTCCCGCTGACTCTGTGAATTAGAGAAGGCCAAATCCTGCACATGCCTCTCCTCACTTCAAAACCAATTTGCCTATCCAAACAAGGATTAAGAGGAGTAGAAGGCACTAGAAATTCGCCCAGTTAAAATCTGAAGCCACATAGCTGAATTATTCTTGATAAGATTCCATCCCAATTTCATTAGAAGAGCATCATTATTCAAATGCAAATCTCTGATGCCTAAACCACCACAAGATATAGGCCAGAAAAAACCATTCCAGTTCAGGAGATAGTCTTCTAAACCTGGTCAGTTGCACCCTATAAGAACCTTCTACTTTGCTGTTTGCTGAAATTTCTTGTTAATCACTTAGAAGAAGCCAGCCAACTGTTCTGTGGTTAATCATTAATATGTGACATATATTAATTTGGCCAGAGAAAAAAAAAGACTAAAATAATGTTGAGATATTTTTCAAGATAAAAGATTTTGTTTGAAGTTTTGAAAGCTTGGTTGATGCTTCAACCAAATTAATATTCCACCTTTAGGGGTTAGAAGATTGTTGTGCTGTTAATCCACTTTTCCATTAGATAAAGAAAAAACTTTCAGATCATTAGAAGCAAATAGAAGCACAGGCTATTCCTCTGGCAAAACCCATTTTGAAATAATTCTGAAGAAAACTAGGTGAGAAGAAAATATTGGTTATTAGGACTGGCAGACTAAGCACATTGCAAGTGAAAGACAAATCAAACTAAGTGATACAAATCGCTTGGACAAAGCCACAGGCTCTTGATACAGTATTCTTATTGATGTACGTATTGCACTTGGGCCAAAGGTCATAATACAAAGAGTACAGAATGTGAATATTACATTTAATTTCCTTAACAAAGCTTGTGCTAGCATTAATATATGCATAAGTTCATAACTTGGTGATAGAAATGAACATTTGTGAATGAGTCCACAACTACTTCCACAAATCTTTAACCCTCAAAATGAAAAAGAATCAATTTATGCTCTAAAATGTGAGGAAGCAAAAAACTCATATCCCAATCCATGCTACACCTAAACCACGGCTAAAGGCATTGCCCGATCAAAGCTACCACGCAATGCTCTAGCCCTCGGTGGCCTCTTCTTCATCGGTTTGATCTCCACCTCTTTCCCTGCTATGCCATTCCTGAAAGAAGAGTGTAAAGCTGGCATCACCATGTGTGTGATGCCATCTTTAACTGCACCGCCATGAATGAGCACTCTAGTGATGCCCACATAGTGCAAAGACTCAGCAATCTGTAAAGCAGTAACACCCTTATTAGTCCTTGCTTCAACATCTGCCCCTTTCTTAACCAACAACTCAATCACATCTGCATGACCAGACTCCACTGCACAATGCAATGCAGTGTAACCATCTTCATCTTTGGCATCAATATCAATTCCCTTCTCAATCAAAACCCGAACAGCATCAATTTTTCCTTTGAATGCAGCTCTATGCAATGCAGTCCATCCGTGTTGGTCACGGCCATTGATTGCTGCCCCATTTTCAATCAACCTGCTGATCGTCCTTACCTCTCCTTTACGAGCAGCTATGCATAAACTGTCACCCAATTTTAAGGCATCAAAAAGGCGAGTGTGGCCATATTCTGCAGCAATATCATAGGCAGTTTTGCCGTTCTTATTGCGGATGTCTTTATTGGCACCTTTATGTAATAGCAGCTTGACCATGTTCTCATCTCCTAATCCAGCAGCTATGTGCATAGGCGTATCACCATCTCCAGTATTGCGAATATCAGCTTTTGCTCCACTAGCTAACAAAAGGCGCGCACAATCGCGTCTACGCTCCTCAACGGCGAGATGCAAGGCAGTGTTTCCATCTTTAGTGAGAGCATTGACATTAGCGCCTTTAAGTAAAATAAGCCTTAACACCTCTAAATGGCCGCCTCCAGCTGCAAGGTGGACTGGACCCCAAGTAGAGGATTGTGATCTTTCTGTGCTGGCTCGACGAGCTAATAAAAGCTCAACAATCAAGGCCTCACCAGAACCTGCAGCTGCCTCAAGTGGACTAGACCCTGATCGGCTTTGAAACTCCACATCTGGCTCAAATTCAAGAAGTAACTGTACAATGTCTGCACGGCCTTGAGAGATGGCTATATGAAGTAATGTTTGCCCATGAAAATCAACTGAATCGGCTGGATTACATGCCGGGTCACTACGCTCAAGCACTTCTCTGATCTCATCCATTAAGCCATCCCTAACTAGCTGAGCCAAAATTGGGGACCCAACAAACATGACCTTGATAGCACTATCTATGAAAACTTGTTTTTTCCTGGTTGTGAACCAGTCATTCGGAACTGCATCCATACTTGATGTAGCATCTTTGACTGCTGCACCAGGAACCACCACGCTATGCAAAAGAAATGAGTCCTCGCAGTGAGGAAATGTCTCTGGAAGAAGAGAACCTGGAGGGAGATGATATATGATCTCTATAGTTTGTGTTGCAAGAGGAGATATGATTCCTGACTGTGGCTTGATCGTGTACCGAGTCTTGTTCACGGCCTGGATCCTAAAGGCCACCGGCATGGTGTACATAACATTGCGGAGAGTGAGTTCCCCATAGCACTTCTGTCCATGTTCAATCCTGATTGCTACAAGATTTGATGGCTCCAAACCAATAAGCCTGTCCATTTCTCTTCTTGTGAGCCAAGTGACCTACCTTGCTATTACTGTACAGTTAATTAATCGTTATATGATCCGAATGGATTCTTGAAGTTTATGGTTTGTTCTGCAGGTTCTTTCACTCTGATTCTTGACGGGTTATAGGGAGAGGTAAAACCCATGAAGAGAGGGATTAAGGGAATTGAGGAATAAGGTTGGATTGGTGTATTTTAAGGTAGGAGGAGGACAGAGAAGAGCCGGCTCTAATGAGAGAGTGCCAAATGGTGGTGTTAAAAGCAATGATGACTTGTTCCATTCGGTGTCTCAACCGTATAAATCCTAGGCATAGTCGTATAAGGTTAAAGAAACAGGTAGTTGTTCAGGATTAATTTCTGCATGTCACTTTCAATGATGTATCCAAGGACCAATTTTTAATTGTTGTGCAATTTACTCCAAAATAATCAATTAATTAGATTACAAAATGGTATCTTTGCAGAAGCTCCTGTCTCGAATGATGTATGGAAAATATAGTAATGTGAACATAAAATTCTTGATGATGTGTGTGTTCTTAACAAAAGAGTAACGATGCTTTTCACTTCTGCGTGTGTTAGAAGGTGGGTCATTTACTTGGCCAACCAAATTGACGATTCACAAATTATTGCATGCACAGTCATCAGAATAGGTCTTGTTTCATTTTCTGAATCGGACAAGCGTTCCGTTTATTGCAGAGAGTTTATTGGCTTTGGGTTGACAATTGGGACTATCCACATAAAGCTATTAACCTGCACTTCTGATTGGCACGTGGAGTTTATTTTGTGTAGTATTCATTATACAGTGATTGATGTCCCTCTCATGATTCTGCTCACTTCCAACTCTTCTATAGTATTGGATAATTTAAACCGTAAGACATGTTCTAATGTGGTACGCAGGCCAACGAAAAGGGCCATTCGATCCCACGCAATGCAACCATATGGTGTGGAGGGAGTGAATGTGTTAAAAAAACAAGTTTCACCTGAGATGTAATTTTGCTGGTGTTTCCATGCATAATGCTTTTTCTATGCTGTGGTAAAGGTTAATTGGTGCATGTGGAACCCATTATTGATGAACTTTTCTTTCTTCCCTCTGATATTGGAAAATGAACCGAGCCCACGGTTTTTCATTAGCCTTCTTGAAAATAAAAACTAAAGGTATTTTTTACAATGCCAAGTTTTGAAGCTTATTTTATTGCAGAACAATAAACAGCATCTGCTATGCATTCCAATTTCCAATCCTCCATGCATCAGGTTTGTTATGGCTTCTTCGTGTGTCTTGAACCGTGAAGTAGCCATGGGGTGGAGGCAACAGTGCCGTTCTCTAATCGGTTGGCTCCTTGGCATAATTTTAAATAACGGACACGGTTGAAAAAAACAATCGCTATTGTGATTGCAGATTGCCGTAGGAAAATAATGATCATTGTCATCAATGTTGTGCATAGATTAACATTTATAAATAAATTTATTCTAATTCACATATTTTTAACGGTTTTGCTAATTTAAACATATTAATAACTAATGACATCTTTAATAGTTTAATATTATATAAAAATAGTTTAATTTATCAAAAAAATTAATAATATTTCTAATAAATTAATATCATACAAAAAATAATAAACAAATTATTTAATTTTTTAATTAGTGGTGATCATATTTAATGTAATCTTATTTTATTTTACAAGATATTTTTTTATCAATTTTTTATGATATGATTTTTTTTCTTTTTCTATTTTTTAAATAAAAAATTAAAAAATAACATAAAATAGATAAAAAAAGATTAAATAATTGGTTTTTGAAATAATATGAACTAATTAATTTATTTTTACAAACTAAAGGGACTAATCTATATTTTACTCACTTAAAGCCTGCATTCCATCAAGTCTTTGAATTTTGCGCAAATTTGATTGACTAATAAGGATCAAATTATACATTAGTCACTTTAGTTTTAATAACTGAATTAATTAGTCTTTTTTTCAAAAATTAATTATTTAATTTTTTTATGAGTGCTTACCATATTTAATGTAATATTATTTTATTTCAGAAAATATTTTTTCATTAATTTTTTCATGATATAATTTTTTTTAAAAAAAATTAAAAAATAACTTAAAATGAACTAAATAATTTATTTTTAAAACAAGAAAGACTAACTTGTTTTTTTCTCAAACTAAAGAGACTAATTTATAAATCATTCAATTAAAGCTGCATTTCCTGTGAATATCACGTGAGTGATGGGTCCTCTTTCTTTCTTTCTTATGTCTCTTTCCTTCATCGTAACCAACTTCTTCTCTTCTTCCTTTAAAATTCTCAACCAGATTTTCCTTTCTTCAGTCTCCCTTCTCTCCTTCTTTCTCAACCAACCTTCCCTTTCTTCATCCCCCTTTTTCTCTCTCTCTTTCTAAACCAAGCTTTCCTTTTTTCAATTTTCTTTCTCTCTCTTATTTTCAATCAAGCTTTCTAGTAAGTCCCGTTTGTTTTTTTTTTTTTTTTTTTGTATCAGTAATTGATTAAAATAGAATTTTAAGTTTTCTAAAGTATAACGCCGTTAGATAACGGTAAATAATGACGTTATATAACTATAATATCTTTATTTATCATTATATGTATGAAATGACATTGAAATATGTATAACATCGAAAAATAATAACAAAGTACTCCGTTATCATTATATAACGGCTATTATATTACGTAATAGTCATTATTTAAAACAAAGATCCCCAACCCCACTTGGTTTCTGGCCTTTCATTTCCCATATTGCTTTGGCACCCTCCAAGAAAACCTCTAGCTCTCCACTCTGTGCATTACTATGTATGATCTGCTGACAATGTCAATTCTTAAAGTGATACTTTCGCAATCAGACCAAATTACGCAATCTAATTGAGATTTTGTCTTACAATGGTTTGAGATATTCCGTGTCTCTCTCTCTGTTTTTTTTTTTTTTAAATATAAGGTCGCAGAAAGTCCAAAGAGATTTCTTGTGGAAAATAAAGAAACGGAATTTGGGAATTACAAGAGATATTAAAAAAAGAAACGCGAGTCATGCAAGACAAAAAAAACTTCATAAGGATTAACAGCAATGAAATAATAATATATTTCAATTATCTTCTTGTATACTTGGTTTTTGTCATCATCAAAAAGTAATTAGAAAGCATCAGTACTAAGAATATGTTTTCCTCATGCTTGTCATACACATGATTAACTCACATTTTTCATTGCCTTCTAGGGCCAAAACTAGAGCAACGTAGTCACTTGTTGCTTTTTATGTCCTCGTAAACGTAGTTTACAGTGCAAGAACAGTGGGTACATAGTACACTGACAAACATTCCTTACGTACCAAGATTTACTTTTTATTTGATGGCGAGATCCTTGAACCAAATTAGGCACGTTGAGATTAAATGCAGTTTACCCTCACGAGGTTTCTATTTTATCCATGTCTGCCTGACGTTTCAAGCCCGAATCAATTAATCGCTTCCATTAGGAAGCGTTACCCAAATTAACGGAAGAAGGCATTTTTGGTCCCTTAACTTATGAAATGTGGTTAAATAAAACCTTCTTCAATTAATTTGACGAAATTAAATCTTTTATTTCAATTAAAAGGTCCATATACTGCGACAAACATCATTTATATTTAAAAATATAAATACGAATTCTTAAAAAAGTAATAAAAATATATAAAAAATAAAATTATATGCAAAGAGAAAGTTTGAACTGTGGAGCTAATTAAAAAACAAAGAAAATATATAAATTATTTCAAACAGAAATAGAAAATATATAAAAGAAAACTAGAATATTATTTTTATCAAAAACTAGCGTTGAGGCATCTCAAGTAATGGTTAATTCCTTCCTTTATTCCACAATAAAGATTGGTTTGGGTTCTTTATCTCATCTATCTTTCTCTTTAGAGAGTTACACCAAAATTAATTTAATCACTTTGAATTTACAAATGCAATTTTCATCTATAAAAACTAACATGGAGCTCGTTAAGAAACAAAGTAATAATAATAATAATAATAACTCAATATAAAGAGATAAATAAAAAAGAGTAAGCATTGATGAAATTCATTAACTAATGTGAATTTACTATTTATTATTATTTTTTTTTTGTCTTTCAAAATATAACTAGCAAAGTGATACAACCATGAATCGATTGTAATGCACATTTTAGTTTTAGAATTTTTATTTTATTTTATAATCTTTTAATTTGATTAGTCAATTGCCATATCACATCTTCAATATTATCAACATTAATTGATTTTATCATAAATATTATTGGTTTGTTAGTTGATATTGATTATACCCTTGTAACGGTACAAAAGTTTAAAAGTTGTTTTCTTTTCGGCATTATACTTCTTAGTTTTAAAGTTCTAATCTTTTGTGGTTTTCTTAATTTATTTTTTTTCTATTTTTTTCTAATGTTTTTCTTTGTTTTCAATGTAAACCATTTAAAAAAATAACATTATTTTTTATTTTTTTATCTTATATTTTTAAATATAAAAGATGTATATGGAATCATTTGAACCTTTTAATTGAAAAAGAAGATATGATCTTATCAAATTAAAAAGGATTCTATTTGATCAAATTTCAACAAACTAGGGACTAAAAACCTTCTTATTTTTTCATTAGTTTGGGTAACATTTCTCTAAAGAAAAAGAACACTTATCTATGATTGAAAATTTATGAGGAAAAAACTGAATTGCCCAAATCTTAAGGGTAAGTTGCAATTATTGCTAAATACTTTTTGTTATACCAAACTTTGACTTGGGTTTGATAACCCAACAAATTAGAAGGAAATAGCCTAAGAGTAAGTTTTTCATGTTTAGGTTTTTTTTTTTTTTTTTTTTTTTTGATGATGGTAACACCTATCCATCTATCCAAGATGCATCCTGGTCAAGTCGTGAGTTTTTTAGACTCAATTTTTTTTTTCTAATGACAATGCTATGTTCATCTAACCAAGTTGCAAGATGGTTAGGTCATGAGCTTTTTAGGAATCTTGAGATATAAACTCTTGGTTGTTCAATTTCTTTCTCAAGCCATACCGAAAAAGATAAAATTTACATAATACCCTTTATGAATCCTTTTGTATTTGGAAAGTAAAGACTAAATAAGAGGATACACATCCATTACTCGGTTGACAAATCATAACTTTTTGTTCGGGAATCCATTTAATAATAACCTTATCAATGTAGAAAGCCGATTCGAAGTTTCACAACTTAGTGTGAAGAAAACCCACTAAAGACTATTTTTCGTGGCAAAATCTACTTTAAAAAGCCATTTTTAGGCCTTTATGTGATTTTAACCTCTTAAGCAAACCTAGATTGCTGCATTTTTCTTAATAAGAAGGCTCATGGCAAACCTATAGGTAGTTACTATGCGTTGAAAAACTCATAACAAATCCGTAGCATATTTTATTTGTTTTTTATGTGTTGAAAGATCCTTGATAGGCATACCACAACCACTCTTGTACATATAGCAATACCATCATGTCGGTGGTCTATGAGGTGAACACGAATTCATATGTTCCGTAAAGCTACTTATGTTAAGTCATATTTTCTAATTTTATTTTTTTTGTTTTCTTTCGCTATACAAGTTTACATGAATATCCTTGTTGGCAAAATTGTTCGTGTAGAAGGTTAAATATATATGCTCAATTAGTCTATAAAAATTAATTAATTTTTTATGTACTAATCCATGCTTTTTTTTTTTTTGGCATGTACGCGCAAGCGTGCTCGTGCATACAAACACACATACCCATATAGACACATCCGCATGCACATCAACACATGCATGCATACACACACCTACACTCGCATGCACGGACCCAAAATTGCATCAAACGTTGTTGTATTTATATTTAGATATGGATTTTGATGCACCACATTTACACACACAATTAAAAATTACACCAAATGTTGTTGTACTTAAATTGAGATGTGGGTTTTGATTTCCCACATTTACAAGGATTTTGATATTATCTCAAAAGAAAATGAATCATAGAGAATGCTATTCGCCATAACCGTAGAAATCACATTCAATATCCATGATACTACTATGTCATTTACACAATCCCACAGTTGATAATGTGGAGATGTGTAGTGTGAAGTTGTCCTTGACATTTAAAGTCATCTTCATAGCATGAGAAGAATTGTAATAATTGCCTCTTGTTAAAGGTTAGGACACAAGGAGAGTGCTCGAGTTATCTAATGATGAATGGTGTAAGGAGACATCAAGGATGGATCAACGGAAAATGTAGATGAAGTAGTAGAACCATTGAAAGGAGTGTTGTTTTTCTGCCATGGTATGAAAAAACGAAGGAAGAAGATGTTGACAAGATAAGAGCTAGAAAATATTTTCCGAGTCTAATGCTCGATACCATATTGAAGTGTAAGGCCAAAAAGGCTTAATTCTCATTTCATATAAACGGCTATTTATGTAAAGAGCTAGCATTCTTTACATAGAAATATAATCTCTATATCAAAGCTAAAAGAGGAGAGAATCAAGAGTGTGTGCAATCAAAGGATATTTATGTCAAAAAATCATTTTAACTCAAAATCTTAAACTATTAGGTGGTTTTTTTGGGCTTGAAATTTACAAAAACTCACACTATTTTGTGCTTAATTAATTAGAAGAAAAATGAGGGTGGTGAGATTCGATCGTTTGTTTATCAAAACTACGATACTACGTCAAAAAATCATCTCAATTCAAAAACTTAAGTGATTAGATGAGGTTTTATAAATGGTTTTATATTACTTTCTAACAATTTATAAGCTGATTTTATCAACGACTTTTGTGCAAGGAAAATTTATTAAAGCTCAAGATTCAAATTAAAAGGAATAACCGTTATAGAAATCTCATCAACGATTGAGTGAAGGTGAAATAATTTGATGGCATTAATATTTCTCCTCTTCATTTTTAATCCTCACATTTCAGAGGCAAAATAGGTTTCACAACAAGACATTTACCATGCAGACATAATGTAGAATTTTGTCTCGAGGTTGCATTCTAACTCAGTTGGCATGTTCAATGTTTATATGCAAAATTAAAAGGGAAATTTTTTACACAAATTCTAGAAGTTCGAATCCTAGCTAGCTAGGGAATCACATAGTAAAGATCAAGGACAAAGTCAGTTAGGATGACTGACAAAGTTGCCTAAGAATTAACTTCAAAATGTTACTAGTTAATTAATATAGTGATTAGTTTATATGATTGGCCAACTTTGAGCGTAACAATCTTTAATTAGCATACTTCCTAGGGCATTTTTTTTTAAAATTAAATAATAAATGGCTTAATCTGTCTTCACATGATAGGATAATTATTTAATCTATTCAATTTTTATATTTTTAATCGATTCAATTTTATTCTTGAATATATGTTTGAGCTTTTAATCTATTTTTATGACAAGATTTTGCATGTTAAACCATCAAAATTGTCAATCACATGAAAACATTTTATTTTTCTAGATTGCAAAAATATTAATGCGCAAATCACGTGATTAATTTCAATAATTTAATTTAAAAATCTTGTCAAATGATATATTACAAACTCAAAATTTATTTTAAAATAAAATTAATCTAATAAAAATATAAAAATAAATTAATTTTTTTATTATATAAAGAAAAATTGAGTCACTGACCAAAATTAAAATAATATACTCAACATTGACAAAACTTATTTATGCATTATGCCATCATGAGTGCCAGATGGAGATATCATGGTTCAATAAGAAAATTCTTGGATGGCAGTGGGATCGCAAGAGAACATTCCTTATTATTATTATTACTTTGGTACCTAGAACATTCGTTATCTTAGTTTGAAATTATTTTTTGTAATGTTAGCATAATTATTGCCTGTGCGCGCGTGCACATATTCATAAGAATACTCAAAGAATTTGCTATAAATAACTAATAAAAGTACTCTATACTTTAATGTGTCCAATGTAAACTCTAAGCATGTTTTTCGAAAGATAATGACTTGCTAGAACTAGATATTGAGGTTCTCGTTGATTTCCATTATTTTTACCTCTTAAAAAAAAAATAATAAAAACTCAAGTCTTCTGCCCAATAAAATGCTTTAGGATCAAATCAAATAAAGTGGGTAACTATTGAAATTGACGTGGTCGTAGATTTTGAACTAATAAATAGGTATGATCAATTAATGGTGCATTTTCAGGACACGTACGTGATTTCCTAGCATGCCAATGAAGCATGCAGAATCCGCATAGCCAGATTTACCATGAATTCAAGTGGCGATATTGGTTTGTACCAAACCAAAGAATAACTATAAAAATAGTGGCGTTTAATTAGGAGCATATATATAAGAGCATCCTTTCTACTAACTGGATGTAGTGATAGTATTATCTCTTTTTTTCTGGCACAATGTATTTATTTAAAAAACATAGATAAAAGGCAGAAGAAGTAAATGAGAGCTTTGAGAATCATATCTACCGAGAGATTAGGGACAAAAGGCTTTGCTTGGAAATGACACAAAGATCTTAAGAAATGAACTCGCTAGTGTAGTTATCCAACCTCGATTTTGACAATCTTTATTTGAAATATCGCGTCCTCCTAGTTTATTCTCTGCTTAGTCAAAGCTAGAAGACAGAACAAATGTACAGCCAATTCGAGAGACTACTCGATTGACAAATTTGTTTGCCACAAGACAATACGCATAAAAATGTATGCAGATACTAAATAAACATACGTAGATTTTCTCAAAAAAAAAATTTTGAAGTAAAAAATTGTTTCTTGTTGAAAAAAAAATCAAATATAATAAAAATTTAATGATTAAAATAAAAAAAATAATTACAAAACTGAGACTAAAAGAAAAATAAAATTTTACTAAATTTAATGGTCAAAACAAAGAAAAAAAATCTCAAAATGGGAATTCTAATAAAAAGAAAAGCTTCACTAAAAAAAAAAAAACTTAATATAGTGAAACTTTATTTAGTTTTAGTATAGTAAGGATAAAAATCAAATATGATAAAATTTTAATGACTAAAATACAAATATATCATAAAATAGAAACCAAAAAGAACATAAATTTTTTACTAAAAGTCAAGAAAAAAATTATTATAGGGACAAAAATCAAATATAATAAAATTTTAATATTTATTATAGGGATAAAAATTAAATATAATAAAATTTTAATGATCAAAATAAAAAAAATTACAATACAGGGATTAAAATAAAAATAAAAGCCAAAAGAGGTGCTTACCTGCAGCAAGAGAAAAATAAATAAATAAAATTTTAATGACTAAAAAGAAAATAAAAGCCAAAAGAGGTGCTTAGGTGCTTAGCTGCAGCAAGAGAAAAATAAATAAATAAAATTTTAATGACTAAAAAGAAAATAAAAGCCGAAAGAGGGGCTTAGGTGCTTAGCTGCAGCAAGAGAAAAATAAATAAATAAAATTTTAATGACTAAAATGAAAATAAAAGCCGAAAGAGGGGCTTAGGTGCTTAGCTGCAGCAAGAGAAAAATAAATAAATAAATAAAACAACAACTAACTAACTAAACTGCCATCAGTTAATCCACAGTGACTGTTACAGTGGTTTTGCGTTTCCTTTTAGTTTTATTTTGTAATTTGTAATTGGCCAGCACAAACACCAATTGTAATTAACTTCCTGAGGTGTCTAATAAGTTGGGACCAACTTTTAAATGCCAGTTGCCTATATAAAAACACGTCATTGGTTTTCAAACAGAAGCTAAGAACGGTACTGAATTGATGACAATTTACCAGTAAAGATCTTTTAATAAAAAAAAAAAAGTACAGGCAGTTAAATGTAAATAAAACTTCCAATATGAATTCCAAGTTTTAAATTTTCTCGAATTTTCAACAATAATAGGCAAGAACCATCAATAACTGGACATGAAATTGATGAACCAAAACTGACTTAAAAGCAATGAGAAACTTTTTTGTTGAAATAATCATCAATTGTTTTCTTCTAGTCCATAATGGCTCAAGCTTTTTACTTTAACTAGTTTGAAAATAATAGTTTTCTTATAAATTATGTAAGATCTACTGAAAAGAAAATTAATAACGATATGAAGGTTGCAGCCTGTAGCCTTAATCTAAGAAAATAAAACCCAAAAAATTGTCATCTCTTTTTCTACAGAATGATTAATTTTTACTTAACTAGTTTGAAAATAATAGTTTTTTTTTTATTATTATTATTATTTTCATCTCATCAGTACATGTGTCAATTATCCGATCCTTTATTTTAAGCTAGTTAACGTTGCTTGATCAAACTAATGGACATTGTAATGGAGATAGATGCAGGGGTTAAAATGGCTAAAAAATAATAGTAGAGGGGTCAATTAGAGACACATTTTTGTAGAAGAGTAGAAATGACTAAATTACGAAATTAGATGGACCAACTGTGATTTTAAGCCATTTGCAACATAGGTTTTGCCTGCAAGTTCATCAGGCGCATGGTAAGAACTTAGGTTGAAGTTCTTCTTCTTGTTATTGCTTTTTTGAAGTGCATCATCTTATTCTGATGCGAATAAATAAAAAATTTATATGACCCTTTCAAAGGATATACAACCGTACACTGATGCTGATCAGAAAATCTTTGCACAACAGCACAATTACAATCTGTTATATAATTAAAACGACGAAAAGGTCATGATAAGGACCTGATAAAGAGAGGCTTACTGTTTTTATTTTCCCTTTTACTTAATTTTTGTAGGAAAACTGATTGGAATTTGTAAATATTATTATTTTGAGCATTAGTGAACAACTCCTTACTCAAAAAGACGGCATTGCTCCGAAACATGTTTGTCTAGCTAATTTGTTGTTGCTGTAAGAGCCTGTAAGAATCACATTTGTGGACTCCTCCTGGGCCAGAGGAAATCCAGTCATAGCGTCTAGTTGGCATTTGTCTTTCGAGTAATTTAAAATGAGAGAAGATCTCTGTCTCCAATATGGTGTCTCTGTATTTTGTTCTGAAATGCACTTGACAGAAAATGAAAGCAATGTTGCTGGTGCTTGTTGGTGAGCAAAGTGGCAGGGTCCTAACTAATATTTCACAGGACAAAGCATCAAGAAACTTGTTCATCATGATCAGAACAACTCATGAAGCTTTCCTTCTTATATTATATAGTGATTTTCCATGCATTAATTATATATGACTTAGTCTTTGCTGTAAATGTGGGAAAAAGGCGAATGAAAAGGTCTATTTTCCTGATTTGTTCTGCTATGACAGAGATTGAGTCGAATTCATATTGATAATGGTAAATTATGCAACGGTCCATTTCCTAATCTGTTCTGCAATGAGTAATGAGCCAGGTTTTTTCGAATTCTTCTTCTTCTTCTTTTATTTATTTATATATATTTTTTGAAGTAATTGAGCGGTCATTTATCAAAAGCATCAAGTGTATTCTGTAATGTTATTGGTGCAATATTTGAATTATTACTTGGTTCCCACAGAATACTACCTCCAGTTACTTGATACAAATCCTAAACACACATTTTCAATACCATCAAAATACATTGATGTGAACCCTGCCTAACTCGGTAGCTAAAAACCCATGAATAGGAAGGAAAAAAAGCCTGAAAAGCTAAATCAAATCTAAAAAAGTATGAACACCACACTCTAGATAGATAAAAAAAGAATTATAAGTTACTAAGAACATCACAAGAATCGATTTTAGATTTTTGATAAGTTCTGAAATCACTTCTTGAAATAATTAAAGTATGAATTTCTCATGAAAAAATATTTGATTCAAAATATTGGGTAATTAAAAAATACATATTGTTTGCCTATAAAAAGATTGCTAGAATAATAAAAATAAAATAAAAGAAAGTAATTACTTCCTAGGATCCAACAAATACATAATTATCCAATAAATAAAGCCTCTTTGAATTCGGCGGCAACATATGGAATCTGATACAATTTAATTGATAAAGCTTTCGTGAATTCGGCAGCAACCACTCTTGGAATTCAAAAGCAATAGAGGAAGTCCAAAATTGAAACAATGCACCAGCAAACTGAATAAAGTATTCCATTAATGGAAGCATCAAATTGGCAGCAAGTTCTCGGCCCAGCAGCAAACTAGGATGGAATGGATCAGCTTTGGCCCAATTGATGAAGAAAACTCTTGGCGCATTCAATGCATTAATAAGTCTTGGCCCAAAACACAGCAGCCATGAATTAATTATCACCAGCCTATCAAACTTTAGCCCACGGCTCAATTCCATCCAGCAGGATCTCTCGGCCTTACCTTCACCAATGAATCAGCCCAAAGCAGCTCCTCTAACATCCGGATTCTCGTCATATGTTGTCCGCATATCTTCATTCACCTCCAGGATATCTCCTTCAGTCACCATGATTTCCTCATCAGAAAACACAAAGTCTAGAGGTTTAGAGTCATCACCACAATTTTCAATTCCTTTTTTTTTTTTCTTAAACCTTTTTTTTAATTAATGACCGATTATGCGCAATATATATTTTTATTTCTTAATAATTTTGAAAATTATTTTTAAAAAATATATTAATTTAGTAAAATAATTTCGAAACATTTTATTTTTTGCAAAGATCTAAATGCTTTTTGTTCTATTTCTTAAACATGTCCGAAATTTTAACTGGTTGAAGTGGACGAGGATGCCTATTCTGAAAATGAATTTTTTTCTTTTTTCTTAAAATGGAAGTTTATATATATATATATATATATATATATATATATATATATATATATATATATATATATATATCTTACAATTTAATGCAATTTAATCTAATTGGATTGAATTAATTAAATTTTGAAATACATAGTAAACTTTGACCAAATATTTTTTTATTGGAATCTATTTGCCTAATTGGTAAAAACACTAACACGAGCGATTTTGAAGGTTTTTCTAATTTTAGAATCTCTCTCTGGGTTAAATGAGGTTCAGGAGCTGGAATTTCGACATGATTCATTGATGTTAGAGACATACAAAATTGGTGCCTGGATGGATTTTTCTAGAATTCATGTATCCGTTTTTTTCTCCTTTCTATTAATGGTATAATGACAAATTTTGTTCTCATTCTATTGGGATTTGACAATTTTAAATCTTTAATACTAAATTAAATAATGTTAATTCCAAATTATTGGTTTTTTTTATCAAATTAATCTAATTTTCCTAATTATCATTATAATTAATGATTAATTAGATTGATCGCTATTTAAAATATCAAAACGACATCGTTTTGACATTATACTATTAATCATGTTTTTTTATATACATTTTAAAAATATTTTAACTCTTTAATCTTAAATTTTTTTAAACCTTTTTTTCTTATAAAATATTATATTTTATAAATTATATAAAAAAAATTATAAATATTTGTAACTTCCTGATTTTGAACTTTTTTAATAAAATATTTTAAATATTTTATAAAAAATATTTTTTAATAATTAATAATTTATAAAATTAAAAGGTTAAATCCTTAATTATGTTTATTTTAATACCATAAATCAAAACTCCATAGACCAAATACCATGTATAGCCTCAATTCGCTTATTAAAAGGACTGCTACCACATGAGAAAAGACTCCTCTTCTGTGACGTAACATCCAAATCAACCACAAACCCAATGCCACAAATTTATGGAGGAGCTTGAAAAAAAGAAAAAAGAAAAAGTGAGATATTTATTTCCTGTTATATCATCCACCACATCAATGGCTAGTGCACTTCCGTGATTTTGTCAATTCAGTAGTCGGCACTTTTGATTCCACTCGCCTCTCAAATCTTCTTTGTTAAAGAACATAACCTTTTTCTCTACCCATTAGTCATTACTTCCACTATCTTTGAATAAATTTATGTCTTCTATTAAAATTAGAAGTAAAACTCGTAGCCCATACGATAAAGACAACAAATGAATGTAAAAATTAATGTTTTGACATCAATAGAGTTTTGTCGATTATATAATTTCTTTATTTTTTTAATTATTTTGATTGAATATTTTATTATTTTTCGTGTTGATTGAATTTTTCTACTTCTTATTTTGCTACAGTCTCTCTATAATATTGCTAGATTGCGAGTTGAGTGGAGCATCCACTCCTAATACATAACATGTGTCATATATAAATATTTAATAAACGAATTCGATAAAAAAAGAAGATTTCAATTAAAATAATTCAAAAAGTACATGGATCAATTTTTTTTCATGTTATTATTTTTTTAAGGCTTCATCTTTGATACTACGAAATGTGTCCTATGGGATACCTTATTACAATAAAAAATAGAAGAGTATTTAAAAAAAATTACTATTATAATTTAAAATAATAAAATGAACCTAACCTACAATTATATATAAAAAATATAAATATATTCATCAAAATTAAAATAAAAGAAATAGTAATATTGACTAATCGCTAATTATCTATATTAAAAAATAAAATATGGTAATGTTTAATATTGATTGATCATGGACCCTTAGTTAATGGGTTTAATCCTTCACAAAAAGTAAGAAATACCTAATAATTTGTCAATTCAAAGTAAAAAAAAAATAAGATTAGTTTCTCAAGAAAACTAGAGACTACACCATATATATATAGTTAATTAGTAGTTAGCATTACTGTTATTTTTATTTTTATTTTGAAAAACGTATTTGTATGTTTTTTAATTGTTGTTGTAATTGCATGTTATGTTATGTTCGTTTTATATGTATTTTACTATTTTAAAATTATTATAATAATTAAAAAAATTCTCTTTATATTGTTAATGTAATTACGTCTCGCATACATATGACATATTTCATATCATTCAAGATGAGGTTTTTTAAAAAATAACAACATGAAAATTAAATACAATAATAATAATTTAGTTTATGTATTTTTTTGCATTTTATTTATTGAAATTTCATATTTTTTTAAAACAAAATTGATTAAATCTCCCTATTAAAGTCTCACAAATTACACGTGTTATATATTTAAGAATGAATTTGTTATGTGGGTTCACAAACTAACAATATTATAATGAAGGCACTATAATAAAATAAAATAAAGAATAGAATTAATCAATTAACACCAAAAAGAGTATAGGATGTAAGAATAAAAACACTATAATCAGGAAAGCCCCTGTAAATAAAAGAGAAATTTAACAACATATAAAACCCATGTAAATACTAGAGAATTTTAGCAACACACAACCTTTGATAGTAAAAAAGAATATGAAAACACGCACTCAAATAAAAAAGATTAGCCTGTACAAACACCAATTGTAATTAACTTTCTGAGTTGTCTGATTAAGTTGGGGCCAACTTTTAAAAGCCAGTTGTCCATATAAAAAACATGCCATCGATTTTCGAACAGAAGCTAAAAGCCGTAATGAATTGATAACAATTTACCATTAAAGATCTTTTAATAGGAAAAAGAAAAAAGAAAAAAGAAGAGATAGGTACTTAAATATAAACAACACTTTCAGTACGTATGAATTCTGAGTTTTATTTATTTATTTATTTTGAATTTTCAACAATAATAGGCAAGAACCATCAATAACTGCACATGAAACCGATGAACCAAAACTGACTCACAAGCAACGAGAAACCTTTTTTTAAAAAATAAAATAAAAAAATAATCAATTGTTTTCTTCTTGTCCATAATGGCTGAAGTTTTTTACGTAACTAGTTTGAAAATAATAGTTTTCTTATAAATTCTGTAACATGTACTGAAAAGAAAATCAATGACAATATGAAGGTTGCAGCCCGTAGCCTTAATCTAAGAAAATAAAATACACAAAAAATGGCCATCTCTTTTTCAACAAAATGATTAATTTTAATTCTTGGCTTTTAATATATATATATATATATATATATATATATATATAGTGGTTAATTGTCAGTATTAGAAGGCATGGGAAGTCGAACTTAAGATCAGATTTAATTTTGACCATCTCTTTCATGGCCCATGACCACAACTTAGTAGATATCCTATGAGATAGAAGCAGTTTGGTGTTTTCAATAAATTAGTAAATTTTGGTGTTGTTTGATATAACTACGTTAAAAGGACTCCTCTTTTGTGATGTAACATCGATCCGAATCGACCACAAACCGAATGCCACACAACTTTATGGAGAAGCTTGAGAAAAAGAAAAAGTGAGATATTTATTTCCTGTTGTATCACCACCACATCATGGCTATAGCGCACTTCCATAATTTTGTCAATTCAGTATTCGCCACTTTTGATTGCGCTTTGTTAAAGAACGTCACCTTTTTCTCTACCCATTAGCCATTACTTTCACTATCTTTGAATAAATTTATGTCTTCTATTAAAATTAGAAGTAAAACTCGTAGCCCAAATGAATGTAAAAATTAATGTTTTGATATGAATAAGGTTTTGCCGATTATATAATTTTTTTAAAATTATTTTAATTGAAACACTTTATTCTTTTTCATGTTGATTGAATTCTTTTACCTTTTATTTTATTATAGTTTCTTTATTGTGATGCTACTAGTTTGTAAAATGAGTGAAACATCCACACGTAATGCATAGCATGTGTTATACGTAAAACTCTAATAGAAGGATTCAATCCAAAATAAAAAATATGATGCTTCAATTAAAACAATTCAAAAAATGCATGAATTAAATTATTTTTTATATTCATGTTATTATTTTTTTATGACTTCATCTTGGATACTATAAAATGTGTCATATGTGATCCTCATTACACTAAAAATTGAAGAGTATTTTTTAAAAATATTATAATAATTTAAAATAATAAAATACATATAAAATGAACCTAACATGCAACTATATATATATATATATATCAAAATTAAAATAAAAGATATAGTAATGTTGACTAATTGCTAATTATCTATATTAAAAAATAAAATACAATAATGTTTAATATCGATTGATCATGGACCCTTAGTTAATGAGTTTAATCCTTCACAAAAAGTAAGAAATACCTAATAATTGGTCAATTCAAAATAAAAAAATAGGGTTACTTTCTCAATAAATTAGTAAATTTCGGTGTTGTTTGATATAACTACGTTTTCATGTTTTCAGAATACCATCAATAACTGGACATGAAATTGATGAACCAAAACTGACTTACAAGCAATGAGAAACTTTTTTGTTGAAATAATCATCAATTGTTTTCTTCTAGTCCATAATGGCTCAAGCTTTTTACTTTAACTAGTTTGAAAATAATAGTTTTCTTATAAATTATGTAAGATCTACTGAAAAGAAAATTAATAACGATATGAAGGTTGCAGCCTGTAGCCTTAATCTAAGAAAATAAAACACATACTAAATGCCCATCTCTTTTTCTACAAAATGATTAATTTTAATTCTTGGCTTTCAATATATATATATATATATAGTGGTTAATTGTTAGTTTCAGAAGGCAGGTGAAGTCGAACCTAAGATCAGAATTAATTTTCACCATCTCTTTCATTGGATGCAAACAAATTCAAGATCATAATACTTGTTAAGAATTGAACCCAAGACCACCACCTAATAGATATCCTATGAGATAGAAGCAGGTTGGTGTTTTCAATAAATTAGTAAATTTTGGTGTTGTTTGATATAACTGCGTTTTCTTGTTTTCCAACTAAAAAAACAGACAAATAAAATATTCGTTTGATTTGGTTGAACTGTTGTGTTTATTTGTTTTTTTGTGAACAAATTAAAAAAAAAATTAAAACAGGTTTTTGAAAACAATAAAAAGTGATTTTTATTTATTAATTGTTGTTGTTTTATGCATAGGATATTATGCTACCAATCACTACTACTACCACACTACCAATATCACTTTTATTACCACCATCATCCTACAATCACGGCTTTTATTTCACATTTTCACCCTAGCCATCTCCTTTAACATTACTATTATTATCATTATCATCACTATTATTTCTATAATCTTTACAAATATATTATGATTATTATCACTATTATTACCTTTAAAGCTACTATATCATTACAACCACTTTATCATATTATTTTCATTCACTATGGTCATTATTATTTTATCAACAAAATAACAATCATGAAAAAATTAGTATTATTATACTTTTTATCATTATTTTTAACATCATATCAATCATTCTCTTGTCGTCCAACTATCATCATTATCATTTCTGTTATTGTCATTATTTAATCACAATAATTAAATTACCTAATTATTACTTTCTATATTTCTAATTAACAATATGCTATTATATTTCTTAAATTAAGCCTGTATACAAATTAAATAATTTTCCTAGAACAAAAAATATATTTGTTTCTGAAAACAAGAAAGGTTAGCAAACGGGCCCTTCATTTTTTCAACCTTGTCAAGTGTAGCGATTCATCCTAGTGTCAAAGTTTCACGAACCGGCATGTAATAGAGCCCGCCGATAGACGAAAGCGAGCATCGCGAACCACAAAGGCAAACCCTTACCTGCTGCCTCATGGCTAGATGAGACGGTGGAAATGAGAAGGGAATGGATGTCTGAGTATATCCTCCATCCGCGAATCATCATCTCTCTCTTCATGCAGCATCTTTACAACATACTTATCTGGCATTTAAAACTAAGTTAGGGCTTTGAAAGATAAATAAATTACCTACGTGCTAAACTGCGTATTCTTTAATGCTCTGTGAAGAAGGTCACACATGACACAAGCTAGTGTCAAAAAGTCTCAAGAATCCACAATGACACAATTATGTGGCCGACTAATATAAGGAACATGTTCAGTCTCAGACATCCGATCCAAGTTTATATAGAACAGAACTAGTAGGTCCGGTCCACAAATAGGTAGGTTCTGAACTTTTGACATCCTAAATCAATTTCGCTCGCTTTTTTCACCAAAAATAGCCGGGCCCACATACAGTATTTCTTCTTTCAACTTCTACAGATTAGTATTTTAGTGGTATCTCCGTATACATCTGACAGATTTTTTTAATTTTTTATTTGATCGAGACAAATTCAATAGCTGTGAAAATGATTTTATTCGTTAAAAAAATTTCCCTTATTCTCTTTTCAGGGATTATAATTTTTAATCAACAAAAATTTCACATAGAAAAGCAGATCAAAGTGAGGAAATCCATAGAGAGAGAAGAATGTTAATTAATTGATGGAAAATATTGTATATAAACAATTGAGCATAGCTATAAAAACAATTATTTCAATCCCTGTACTATAAATTATTGCAATTACGTAACCCTTTCTCGTTCTCCAAACAATGTAGTACTTTCGAGGATATTGTGTTAAAGAAAGCTAAGGCAAAATGTCAATTCCTTAGGATTTATGAGTAATTTTAGTTCCTTCATTACGGGTGAAAACCCATTTAAATCAATGGTTTTAGGAGTAATGCAAATTCACACGAATAATACGGTGACGATCCGTGCCATTGATTTGTCTGTAGACCTAATTCTGTGGTGAATATATGGGAGGTGGGGGGTGGGGGCGGGACTGGGGGCTGCATTCCAATGTTTCTGGCAGAACAAATTAGGAAGGAAGACATCTTTGTATATCTATGCGGGAACCATTCCGGCATCACATTTTGTACCGTGTCATAATCATCATATATTTCACATGGTTTTAGATAAAGATGGTTAACATCATTCAGCTAAAAAAAATCTCACTCATAAAACACAATGTTATCTTATCATAATCATCCTTTTATTATAATATGATTTTGGATTTACACTCCACACGAAACAAAATATTGAACAGGACAGGACCTCGACATCTTTCACTCCAACACACACACCTGCACAGACAAAAAGATGCATAAGAAAAAATAAAACAGATTGTATCCCTCATATATTTAGTCAATAAAAGATCTGCTCTTATGATTATTTATTACCATTAGTCTAATTAAAGAGTTAATTATATAGTTTAGCTAGCTAGCAAAAGTCCTTTGCGATTAACTATATGTCTAAGAAGACAGAGTCATGTAACGAGCATGACGTCCTTCCATTTTAATTTGAAAAAAGAAAAAAAATTCAAAATGCTTCTATAATGTCCATAGCTAAACCGGTGATTTAGCGTTATACAGCAAAGGATTCACACACACATATATATATTCTTGAAATTATTCAGGTTTGACCTCCGCATAATTTAAGAAGCAGAGCATGCCACAAATCCTACATACAGTTTTTAATGATCTAAAGGATAGCATATCTTGGGTAAAGAATTAACAAAAGGAAGTACGGCAGTAGAGAACAAATACGTATATATACCTAATATATCGAAATAGTGAAAGATTTTTAATCACTGTCGCTACTGCTGCTATGGCCATCATGGCCATGCTCACCCTTCTTCTTCTTCTCCTTCTTCTCCTTCTTCTTTTTCTCTCCTTCGCCATGAGCGCCATCACCATGGATCTTTTCCTTGATCTTGTCAACAAACCCTTCCTTCTGTTCACCCTTGCCATGTTCTGGCTTGTATTCACCCTTGTGTTCACCATGTGTCTCACCCTTTTGCTCACTATGTGTCTCACCCTTCTGCTCTTCTTTTTTGCCTCCCATGTGGAGGGTCTCCTCAATCTTGTGCATAATTCCTGCCATTCTGTATTTTTTCTTTCCTTTCTTGTTTTTTTCCCACTTTGAAGTGATTTTTGATACGAACCGATGAAGGAAAGAAGCGCCATATTTATAGACAGAATAGAAACGGTGGGGGAAAAAGTAGACATGACGGTGTGACTTGAAATTACAAAAATGCCCATGTAAGTGTACACGGGTATACACTGAGTTGGTGACAAATGTAATAAACTCACGCACGTATTATTTCCTTTCGAAAGGCATTTGATCTAATCTGAAAGGGTCAAAGCGATGTTGAAAGTTCTTAGATACCTATTTAGCGGCACCAAATAAGGGGAAGGAAGCAAATCTATCTATTAAAAGTGTTTATGCAAATTAAACACATATCCAATGTCATTATTCCAAATGTTTTAAAAATTAAGAGGTGCTTGCAGAACTTGGGGTGTTCATCAAGCTCTTTTCGCCCTTTTGAAGGATATTATGGATAATTAGGGTTTAGATGATGCTGATAGAGATTAAGATATTCATTCTCTATAGACATATCTGTCCATTTCAGGTATTTTGTCATTTCATATTTTTATAATATCCCCTTCAAAAGGAGGGGGAAGAGAAAAAAGAAAGGGAATCATTAACGAAAAAGTGATAGATGAATTAATATAATATATATAAGCTAGCTTGAGTGTACTTAATTCTAATATATTTTTATTTTATTTTATATTTACATATAATAATAAGATATTTTTATATAATTTTTTACATTAATTGAGACCGAATATATTATCGATTAAATTAAGTTATTGTTAAAATACATCTAATTTTTATCGATTATTAGACTTTTTTAAAATCAAATTAATCCAAACATGATATTATTAAAAAAATAATTATAACTAATTATTTAAATATAGTGAAAATTTAATTTTAATTTTGATCAAATCAAAATAATTTTTTTACACTAAATCATATTTTTGATATAAAAATAAAAATCTATAGACAAATATAAATATAACAAATGAAATAAATGGTTAAAAAATGGTATAACATTACAATTCCTATCATTTGGTTTAAGATTGTTTTATATTGTTTTATAGCATTATCCAAAATGGATAGCCGGTGCAAATTTACTATGGCCTAGGGCAGGGTAAAGGGATTTTATTTTATTTATATTATATCAACAACTTTACTCGTTGAACCACCATGGAAGTCATTGACAATAGGATTCATAAAATCAGTGGGAGTTCTAGAAACCCAATCGAAGGAGAATGGAGGTCAATGACCATAGCTTCGAACCATGACCGCAACCAAGATTCTGAATTGGGGTGACAAAAATAACAGGATAACGTTGGTGAAGAGAAATCAACCTTGTGGGACCCACTTGGTAGTGAAAGCAAATGGACCCATCCCTATTGTCTGTTTCTTCCTCTCTCTTTCTTTCTGTCTTTATGGGCATCTGCTTTAATCAGTGCTGTAACTTTAATTTATTACGGTTGAAATTACCAGTTTCTTTGTTCCTTTGTTAGGCAATGACACGTGGACGGCGAGTAGATGCTTGCCGACATCTTGGTGATGCTATCCTGCTTCTCGATTCCCTAATGTGGAAACTTCCTCTTGCTGCCACGTCTATGGGCTACATAAACAAAAATATCTATTTTTTTCAAGATAAGGAAAAAATCTCTCAATCCTTTTTCTTTTTTCTTTTCAAAATATCTGATTATCCTTTTGAATAAATGTTGTTAATATAAAATGATCAAGCTAGTCCCGTAAATTTGGTCAATCGATGATGCATTGAATCCGATGAATATCCCACCGGCCATTCTAATTCTAATATTATTAGTTAGTTCCTTGGATCCTGAACCAATCTCACGCCGACCATGCCAATATATTACTCCGACTCGGTACTAGTGTACTACTTCCACTTTCTTTTTATTTGGGCCATCTTCACCCGTCTTATCGTTTAGACATTTCTTTATTTCGGTACAATCGTAATAAGAAAGATGAGAAGCTGAAGGACAAGCACAGAAACTAAAGCCTGGAAGGGCATGCCCATAGTATTTGCTTTCTTGAGGATGTTAGCTACAGCATCAGGGCTATTAAAAAAACAAAAATAAAAAAACCTACCACTAATTATATCGTTTTAAATATTGTTCATCCATATTCAAATACACTATTTATTTTATTATACAATCATATTTTGTTTTACTTTTTAAATATTTATTATGAAAATTTTCATAATATTACACTTTGATCCTTTACTTTTAAATATTATTTTTTAATCAATAAATATTTTTTATTTGATTTTGACTCTTTTTTGTTTCATTTTGATCCTTACTTTTTTTTCTCTGATTTTTTAATTAAAAATTTTAAGATAAAAAGATTAAAAAATAATTTATAAAATAAAGTTTTAACTAAAAATGTGAATAGAGATAAATAAATAATTTTTTAATAAAAAATTTATAAAAATAGAAAAAATAATTAATTAAATATAAAATTTTGAATAAAAAAAATGATTGAATTTTGATTTGATATATTTTGAGAAATATATAATATAATTTGAAATATTAAAATAAAATAATTATTTAAAAATAATTTTATGTATTTTGTTTTTGATAAGTAAAAAATCTATTTACCGGGGCAAAAAGGCTGTGCCAATCCCACTTTGTGACAACTCCAAGGACGGTGAAGATGTGATCATGCATCTGAACGGCATGTGGCCGACATATATGCACGTGTTTAGCGTTACTATGCACGAATAAAACTTTTTTTTTTTTTTGTGCAATTGAGAATAGGGCTTTCTTAAAAAATAAATCAAATGACCGAACGATCAGGACAGTTTGTCGTCCAAAAAGTCGTTTATTTGAAAAAGAAAAAATCAAAGATTGAGAATTAATGGGAAATGTGTGGCCCAGCATGATTCCCTGTTAGGCTTGCTCGATCCACAAGACCACAACCATAGTCTAGACTCTAGACTGCATCCCACATGAAACCAATAAATGTTAGTTGCAGGGGTTGTTGCGCAAGTTGAAAGCAGATACTTTTCACTGTAACAATAATTTCCTGTTTTTATGGATGTAGGAATTTTCTATTTGCAGCACCTTTTTTAAGTTATTTCTACAGTACTTCCCGCACACGTGTATTATACTCTCATCCAAAAAATCTAATTTAGCAATTAAATTACCCACTTCAACATCTTCGGGGTTTTTACGGTTTACTTTAATGTTTGTTCTTGGATGCTAATGCTATTTTTTATTTTTATGTTTTCACCTTCATCTTATCCCTGGTCATAACACTAGAAATCTCTTATTCTTGTTTTGAAATTTTGTTCTTTTCCTTCAAATAATTACAGGTTCCATAATGAAATTACAAACATAAATAAAATTATCAGATCCTAATAATGCGTTGTAACCAAATTAGTGAGGAGCTTTGGGAATCATTGGAAGAACAAGTAGGGAAGCTTAAATTGAATCCTAAAAGTAAAAATGGATTTTGATGGAGTTCAAGTGTTGCACTAATTCGTAACATGTAGAAGGGCGGAGAGAGAGAGATCAAGTAAAATATTGAAGAACCCTAACCAGAAAACAAAAGAGCGTGAGAGAAAGGGAGGGATATTAACATTTAACATCCGTGAGACGTGCATGAAGATAATTGAGGTAAGAGAATAGAAGAGTCTCACAAAAGAAAAGTAGGAAATATCTTGCGCCTGTGGCCGTAGGGAATTATTAACCTATTTGGCAGCCTTTGACAGTGACAATCGAAAAAAAAATCACCATTTTGAAAGACCAATTAAAGCTCCGTGTTACTGTTTATGAGTTAAAGCAACTTTTATACACTTCTCAAAGTTAGGTAAAGAGCTTGCTTATTATATAAAGAAAACAAACATGATGCAATATCTGAAAAGCAAGTAAAACTGATTCTGGAAGCAGCATTTATTCCCCTGCTTCTCTTTCATAATCGGCTAAAACGGGGGTTCTTACTTATAAGCAACGCAGGCCAGAGCCTAAATTAAACCAACCATTTTCTAAACTTCACTAATATTTTGATGGAATGTCAAGCAAAGAAACTATGGATATTGAGGACAAACTTGGGATTCATTTCCACTGCAAAATAACTTTCAATTTCAACCAAAACGAGATCTAATCCACCTGAGAAATTCTTTCCTCGAATTTGTTTTGCATGTTATTGATTATCCACTTCTTTTATTTTGAACCGTGCATGCACTTCGATTAACAATGGTCATGAAGGCCATCAGCCTGAAGCTGATTGTAAAAGCAGAATGGGTGAAGTCATCCAATTTACAGCAGAGGTTCCAAAGTTGCTGCATTTATTTCCTATTAAGGGGGTGAAATCTCCAACTTAGTGATTTGGATCCAATTACACGACCCAAACCGACAGACATGTACTGAACCAAGAGAGAAACCTCGGATCCAAGTTGGGACTGAATATTCATGGCAAGAAAATGGCTTGTTACATGACGCTGGCGACAACTTTGCTTGTTCAGCTGCATGGTTTTGGTGGAGAGTCGCAAAGGGTTTTTCTTGGACTCATAGTAAAATTTACATCATGTAACTTGTGACAACACATCTTTGGCCACTAGAATCAAAGCACTGCTAAAATTCTTTGCAAAGGAATTAGTCTCAGCAAAAAATTATGTATAAGCCATTTTTTATGAAATCTTTCCAATTCATTGTCAAACTATCCACAAATTGCACAAAAATTAATTACCACAGGTATCCATTTCTGAAGAAAAAAGAATGGAAATGAAATAGATTACTCACAAATGAGAATATATCCACGTATTCTGGACACACAGTCTTGCACCAATTTTATCGAATTGCTCCTAGCAAATTGGCCCCATCAAGCTTTGCATCTTCCAAATGCTGTGGTAGAAACATGATATCTGATGTTAGATTGCAAACAAATCACTGCAAATGTGAATCAAAACCTGGACATCTAAACCAGATTATAGACATAGCACCCAAACTTTGGATTGCAGTAAATCTTCAACATATAAAGAACTCTCAGCTTGACAAGTCACCCTTCCTTTGTTTATATGAGCAACTTGTAGCAAATCTCTTCCACAAAAACTATTTTCAAGTAGATTATTCAACTTGAGGAATTTGAGGACCATTCATTAAAACGATAATTTTTTTTTTCAAAGAAAGGAATGGAAAGCAAAAACTAATAGCAGAGAAGTTTCCAGCACATTTGAGTACTCTGCATAAACATCAGTAAAATTATTTATTATTTATAAAAGCAAAATGAAAACTAGTAAGCAGAAAATTTCCAGCATATTGAGATATTCTGCATAAAAAACGACCGCTCTTAACACCATTGTGGTCTTGCCATGCTACTATGGCAAACATTTCATTTTATTATTATTGTTGTTATTGTTATTATTTGAAATTACAAACAAAAATTTTAATTAATTATATATTTGGAGGATGACGGAACTCATACATCTTCTGAATGGCCAGAAAGTCTAATTAATCTAAATTATTATTCTCTGCAATGGACAGAGAATCAATTTTAAGCAACAATACCATGTTTGTATTCTTTGACTTCATTGCACTTCAAGTGCACCACAAAATCTCTCTTTGATTCAATGGGATTTATTTTCTCTATACATCATTTCATTATGCAAATGACTGCATATATGACTAGTTCAGTGGTGGCATGTGTTGCTTCTATTCATGATCTAAGCACTATCATATGTTGGGGTACAATAATGATTAAATCAATATTTTGTCAGGCCAATCTTTCTGCAGAAATATCATTGATCTTGCAAAAACATAGATGCCATCCAACATCCAATACAAATTTCAGCATTCTCCATGAATTTTAAACATGATTAAATGTTTACCATTATCAGCGGTGACAACAGACCTTTCTTTTTTCCTTCTCAAAAAATGAAAAGCAACAGGTTCAAAGAAAAAGACGTGTTCATCATATGACACAAAAGATTACTTGAGCAGATTAAAAACCTAAAGAATAAATCTTGGCCACCATAAAAGCAAATTTACTTTAGGCACCACAAAGTTCGAGAATAATTGTCATTCCATCTCCAAGTAAAGCACACACTGAGTGAGAGGCCAAGTAAGGGTATTCTACACAGTCAAATCAGTTGTTACTTACTGTATTTTGAAGATTGACACGTCGTAGATAAGCCCGTTGAAGATTTGCACCCTTCAAATTGGCATTATTCAATTCTGCACCCTGAAATATGTCAGTTTCAAAAAGTCAAACTTAACAGCTGCAAGGGTTAGGAAAGAAACTTGATTTTGCGGGGGCATCTCTTCTTGCAGTCATTCTATATTCTGCTCCATTCACTAATAAACACCCCCCCCCCAACCCTTTTTTTCCACGCATGTGATTCCATCTCAAAAGTGTGAGCCCTGTTATCATTTTATATTGGTACTCATGGTTCCCACACTGAAAATGTTTCTACCTTCAGATTGGCTCCTTCTAGATTAGCTCCTTCCAAGTTGGCATTAGTGAGATCAGCAGTCTGAAATTGGGTAACCGAACAGGTTAGTATATGAAATCAACCTCCAGTCCAGAAAGAAATATAGGCTCACGTTTTACATTATGCTTAAATCCATAAACCATATCAATAAGATTTCTTTCCATAAACTATAAAGAGCAATACCAAATAACCATGTTTTGGTAAAAAATCACAAGGAAGAAGGGACCCTATTATTATTTCTTCTCCAAATGAAGCACATGCCCTTTTCACCTCCTATTAACAATATAGGTTTCATAATACGGACGGTAAATGTTTCTAGCAAGTACTTTACACATGCTAACAATTGAGTTCAAAGAATAACTAGTAGTGTTTAGAAATTAGATCAGTGGAAGTACACAACGATTGTCATTCAAATCCTGCTTGTCCAATACTTTAGACATTGGATCCTTCAAACATGCAGGTTAAACTACATTTCCGAACTCAAGCAACCAAAACACAAGTGTGAACCAGAACCAAGCCCCATTCTTGCTGTCGATGAACATTGAAGGAATCGAACCAGAGTCACAAGCTAATTAGTGTGGTCAATTAATCAGAGTGAACAGAAAACAGGCGCAAAATGAGATTTGGCTACTTAAAAGATTAACGGATGCTGAACCTGTAAGTGTGCAGAACGCAGATCTGCTCCACAGAAACTGCAATCAACCAAACAAGCATCTGGAATAGAGCACAAAATCAAAGTAAGAAGTAATTTCCTATAGAGATTACCATGAACATTAATCAAGCATTAAACGGCTAGGTCAAGGTTCCCACTTGAAAATATAAAATATTTGTGTACATAAAAAATTTTGATGTTCAAGAAAATATAGCTGAGTTATATAAAACGCTAGAAAATTCACATAAAGTAGTGACTGGATTAGAGAAACAAAACATATGTCAAGGAGTTATGAGGCTACAAGCCTGCAAATATGCAAAAGTACAATAGACAACAGTCATATATAGCCTTGGTAGAGGAAGTGATTAAAGCATGCATTTCTATAATCTATATCACCAGAATAACTATAAATATTACCTTGTAGGTTTGCACTCTGAAGGTTAGCACCTGCTAATAAAGCTCCTCGGAGATTTGCACCAGTAAATTCACATCTTCCCTAGGCATGAAACAGTCATCAAGGAAGCATTCTATGATACTAGATTTTTACAAATCGTATCCAGTTTTAGTTTCAGTGTCTTACTCCCGCAAAGTTGCATTGTGGAATATGGAACCCTCGGCATCCACATCCTGTAACATCCATTTTAAAGGTTTTAATACAATCCATTAAATAGATACAAGTGGTAAAGGAGCTATACACAGAGAACAAGTATGTGATATTTCTCAGATAGTAAGAGCAATGCCCAAAACCAAATTCAATATATGATATTCGTTGTAATAAGATTCTTAAAAAATATTTATATAACCATTTTAAGCATTCTACGTGAAAATTTGTTCATCAGAATAAACAAATGATCATCAGTACAGAAACACACTGCCTGTCACAATCTTGAATGAATATTTGTTCATCAGAATAAACACGTGATCATCAATACAGAATCATACTGCATGTCCCAATCATGATTCCCTTTTTTCCTGTCTCAAATAACATATCCACAATGATGAAGTCAAATAATAATCTTTCCCCAGTTATTACATCACCTTTGCTAGAACATTTGTTCTTCCTCTTCATGGAGGTTGTATTAGAAAATGAAATTAAGCAATATGTGATGTGTTCTAACAGCAACTGCTTGAGCTTAAATAATGAGCAAAAGATTAAGACATTCATCATAAGGTAGAGGGAATTCATTGCAGTGACCACAGTGTAAGTCCCTGGGAAGTACAAAGCAAAGACAATAATGGAGTCATTCAGGACACAGTACATTACAGGCATATGAAGTAACACCTACCCGAAATTTTGCACACTGTAGGTTTGCACGTGAGAAGAAGACATTTTTAAGAGATGCATAGCTGAAGTCAACATCTGAGAGGTCCTGCACCTCAATAAATGACATATCAGAGGATACAATCATTGTCATTACTTTAACTTAAAGCCAAATAAATCCAAACAAGCCAGCATTCTGCATTCACAAGTTATTCCTCTATGAATAAACAAATTGTCTATTGACAAAAGTTATACTTCCTCTAAGAACAGACTCCGACAAAAGGACACATCTGCCAAGAATAAACTTAAGAAAGCACGAGAAAACCTTCCAGGAACTTTGAACCCAAAAGAATTACCAGTTTAGAGAGATCAAGGCCAGAAAAATTAATTCCTCGAAATTTCACTTTGTCATACTGTATACATTTGATGATATCTGCCCGTGTCAATTCAGCATTCAACCCATCACCTTCCTTCCTCTTATTCAGAACAGAATTGATTCCCTCTATGAGCCCCTGACATATAAGTTCATAGAGGGAAAAGATGGAGTGTCAGAAACATTAGGGAAATGCTTGACGTTTCTTTTCCTGAGCGTTGCTAGATACATGAATCTAAATGCATGCATATGAACCTCACAGAATTCAAGGATGAGCAACGAAACTCATTACAGAATGATGCAAAGGAAAAGCAGGTTAGCAGAGAAAATAGAAAACATAAACTTGACAACAAGAATAATGTCAATTGGAAACAACTTTCCTATCAAAATCTCATGCACGGGGACTGCATAAGAATGCAACGCATATTTTTGTGAAAAAGTCCATTCTTAACTTGGATCCAGTAACATATAAAATCAAGGACACATGACAGCTGGGTACTTGAACAAATTAGGCAGAACTTTCAAGCAAAGGTTCATAGGGAAATGGCATGAAACATCTGAAGAGTGTGTTCCTTTTTGAAAAGCCTGTATGCAAGCTCAGGGTCACAAATCCCAACATTTCAAAATTGCAACCTAGCACTACATACAAACAAGCATACGATGCTCATATGAAGAGATTAAATCAACAACACACAATGCTCATGTGAAGAGATAAAATCAAGAACACACAATGACTTCTGGTTCTTCCAAAGAATTTATGCAGATATTTTAAAAAACTGTTTATGGGCAAGTTGTGTGAAGTTTTTAAGACTGTGTGCTCTCTTTTAAAAAGCCTGCATGCAAGCTCAGAAGATTTCCTGTTGCCTGGTATGCAGGAAAATCTTGTCCTTTCAGAAACTGCATAAAGCAATCCCCCCAGGTCATGTGAACAGATGAAGAAAGAAATCAAGTTAATGAAGATAGATAAAGTTATTGTTGATCCCACGCACATCCAGTCTCATCACCACAGACATATGCAAGAAAATTCCAAATAATATAGACAACTGAACCTATTGCTATTCCTATACACTTTATGCCTGGGCCAGCTTATCAGAAGTGAATCAACACATCAACAAGAGGCTTGTGCTCCATACACTGCCCTTCTACAAATAGGCAAGACTTGAAGGACCAGAAAAATGAAAGGAAAAAAAAGGAAAAAACCACAAAAGAAGAAGAAGAAGAAGATATAACCACATACAAGTAGCTGATAGTATTCTGCCTCTCGCATAAGCTCTGAATATTCAGCATCAGTTAGTGTGGGAACCACACCATCCCTCAACCAATTCAAAATATGCCGAAAGTGTTTCCCGTCCCTATCAATGAAGACGTATCCCTGCAGAATCAAAGTTCAGAAACAATTCATTACTTAACAATTTACACCATCCAATAAGAAACTTATTAAAGCAAATTTCCTGTCTCGATTTGATAAAACCAAAGTAGAGGCTAGGGAAACCAATGGAATGAAAAGGGAACGAGTGAAAGTCATTTCCCTTGTTCCTTTTCTTTCCTTTTCCTCCCATAAATAAATGTCTGTTCACTTCCCTCTAAGAAACAAAGTGACATTCTCTCCAAGAAAAAATTATATATAATAATAATTGGCATGGCAACACTTCTACCTTCATCAAACCAGGTAGTCATCCCTCAGAAGTTCTAAAATACCAGTCGATTCACGAAACTTAATATATATATATATATAGCGCAAATTACAAACAGATATCAATCGTCTGTTAACTTACTACACACAATCAAACAACAAATGATCATGATTCAATACCTTATTAGGATCCTCTGACACAGTGTGTCTTCCACTGAACATAGCAGCAAGCATGGAATCAGGCTCACGCTGCGTTAATGTATCAATAGTGGTGCAAAATTTCTTCCCCCTGCAAAATAATTAACCACGTTACATTAATAGCTTATATTTCACACCAAACCAATAACAATCAAGCATGAGGAAAAAAAAAACAAAAAAAGATAAGGCAACAGCAAGTAGTAATAAATTAATTAATCAACGTCATCCAAGTGTTGAAATTGACAGTAAAAAAATAATTAAAAAAAAAAGTTAAACTGCGTAAGGTTCAATAGCGGATAAAAAAAGAGAAATTTCATTTAGGTTTTCAAAGTTCGATTTATTTTAGGATCTGAAAAAGAAGATCCACGGGAGTCTTCCGACATAGACAGATTCAGATATAAATTAGAGAGAGAGAGGGGGAACCGATGTTGAGACGAATTAGAGAAGAGAAAGTGTGGTCTTTCATCATTTGCTTTTGCTGTAGAACTTGCTAGAGAGACAGAAACAGAGACAGAGAAAGGTTAGAGATAAGCGGCTTTGAGCAAATGAGGAGGGCTGGTTTTCAAGCATCCATTATCATCATGGATGCTGTTAACGTTAAAACACGTTGACCTTTTTCACTGCGTTTGGATGCAAGAATGGTGGGTTGGTAAGGTTGCCTCGAGAAAGGTAATGGTAACTTAGCAACCGTTCCTCTTTTTTTTTTGTATACGCGAGAAAAGGAAGGGAATGAGGAATTTTTTTTAAAAAAATCAGATTAATCATTAAATTACAAAAACAGCCTGAATTGGTGAAAGGAAGCTGGTTATTTATTTTGAATTGAGGATGTTAGTGTAATTTAATAATTTTAATCCTTCTAACCGCCCCAATTTGGGGCGTTAAGATATTCAATTATTTGAGGTGTTTGAACTTAACTTTCTCTTTCTAAACCCAACAAAACAAAAATAGTTTCGGTTGTATTGTGATTTTAAGTACATTTTCCGCTGAAGTAAAGAGTTAATTAAACTTTAGTCCTTATAGTTTTAGAAACTATATATTTAATCTTCATGTTTTTCAAATCTATTTATAACTTAGCTCTTTTAGGTACCAAAGAAAAAAAACTTAATTATCTTGTCAATGTTTTTTTCTTTGTTGGTAAATGTAAAAAAAAAAGGTAAGTAGATGAGATGGAAAATTTTGATAAGAAAATAATGTATTTTTAGAACAATAAATAACTAAATTTGGGACAATCAACATTTATCAAAATGACTATTAAATAATTATTTATAATATATAAATTAATTGGTTGATTTTGATAGATTTATGGGGACTAAGTTGTAATTAAATCGACAGTAATCAATAGAAATATGTTCATTTGGTGCATTTGAAAAAAGTGTTTTCTTTACCACTATTCCAGTTGCATTTTCCATCTCTAGTTTTCTTTTTCATTTTATGTGAATAATGTAGAACATGTGTTCATTTTTTGAATTCGAAAAAATATTTTCGCTTTGAAAAATGAAAAACATGTAAAAAAAAAAAGTCTAAAACTTTTTATAAGTTTTTATCTATGGTTATTGATTTAAATTCTAATAATTTTTTTTCTTAAATGCGAAACAAAAATTTAAAAAAAAAAATTTCTGAAACTTTTTTTTTTTTTCGAAACAAAAGCAGCTTAAAACACTATAAAATAGATCATGGATATCAAGATTCAATCCCAAGCCTCTAGAGACCAGGGTAATAGGCCGCCATCGCACTAAATTGGTTTTAAAAGCTCGCAATGGGCAATTAAAAAAAAAAAACACTAAAGCAAAACTATTGTTTACTATTAATTCTATTATTTACAGCACTATGTATTTTTTTTTCTTTTCTCTAAATGACGATGATAACCAACAAATCTATTTGCCCACGAGTCAAGTTTTCTACGAGTTTTTATCTTTCATGTGGCTTGAAATCTGCATTTGTTCGCACCTAGCTAGTCCTTTCTTGTGGTGGACAGCAGTTCTTTATTATTCCATGAATCTCCAATCCCCGAAACCAGATTATGGACATACAACCAATTTGGAAATCCTAATTATTGACAATTTGTTCTTGATAAAAACTTGGATCTTGCTGAGGTCTCCATAGAGTTCTTCTTTTGGTCTACATTGGGCTTTGCTCCATTTCCCCTCACTTGGAACGTGAGGGGTGCAAACTACTTCTCCAGGATGTGTCCAAGCAGGAACATGCAGCAGACGATAATGATAAAACTAATGCCAAGAGAATGTTTGCAAAACATATTTTCTTGAGCAGGTGAACCATTGATAGATCGATGTTTTTTTTACATTTACCTGATATCTTTGTTATATATGTATATGCAGATGCATCAGTGGACAGTTGATCAGGACACGTTCAAATTTTGTTCTAAGGGAGTTCTGATGAGATCTTGCTGGAAGTATGCTCCAGTGATGGAGGATTAATATTTACTCTATATATCTAGAGAGAGAGAGATTAATATTGTAGTACCTAACAGCTGACTGTATGAGCCCGTTTGACAATCCATGGATATTTTCTTTTCATTAAGAAAAAAAAAAAACTTTTAGGTCTTTTCTGCAAAATCTAAGAAAAAAGGGCTTGTTTTAAGTTTTGAAAGCTAAAATTCAAAAGTTATAAACTGAAACTTTTAGGTTTTCGAATCTCAAAAACAAAAGAGTTATAGTGGAGGAAAATAAAGAAACAAATGTAATAAAATTAAGTAATTCTGTCCAATGAATCCAAGCCAAAAATGATCTTTACCATCTGGAGCAAACTTTTCACTCACCAAGCGCATTGAAATTACCTTGCAAACCTAGCCCATAACCCAAATTGGAAGTGGGCTGGGATGGGTTACTCCTTTCACCTCCTATATATCCCCTTATTGCTAAGCAAAGATGTATGCTAACGAGCAAATAAGGGGCGTGGCACCAAGTGTTTGCATGGCCAACCCAACGTGTCAATCAAAGAAACTAACATGTCTCAGCCTCTCCATAAAAGGGTAGTTTCTGTTAACCTCTCTCAGAGTGCAGTGCACAAAGCAAGCATGAAGATGAAGCATCTATCCTCCATTGCTCATGATGTTATCCACAGATGTGCCCAGTAAATCTCTTTCTATATATTTGTCTTCATAGTTTGTTTACGTTCATGTACTTAATTAGATTGAATCATTTTCCTGGTTTGGAACGTGTCCTTTTGCTATTAATGCACTGATGGGCTCAAGCACTTCCAATGTTCGCACGTGTCCGTCATTTATTACCACCTTAAAGACTTCTATTAAGTTTTTTTTTTGTCAAAAAATGATTTCACGTTTACATCTACATTTTTAGCTACTGTAACATGTTGTCTGGTTAAATTTTTTCCAGAAAATTGGATACTTCTGTGGAAAAATTAGTGGTAGAGTTTGAAGCAGGATGGAAGCAGGAAATAGGTGATTATTCAAGGAAATTAGTGGAATTTTGTTGCTCAAAGGCACTTAATGTAGAGTGTCCATATATAAAAGAAAAAATCAGTGATGGATCATTTAGCCGGTTCACGTTTGATATGATGCTGGCGAGGGAGATGCCTACCTCCCAGGATGAGGAATCTCTTATGGTATAGATATCTGTCCTCTATCCAAGTACTTAATTTGTTACTGTTAATTCCAATTGATTAGAGGGATTTATTTTTTGGTTCGCAAGGAAGCGCATATGTTCTGATTTTTTTTGCCTATGCGCACATCTGCTTCCGTGTCAGATATGTCAGTGGCAGGCAAAAACAACTTCAATTGTTGGTGTACATTGAATATTTTCAAGAACCATGGTTTTCCTCTAGGCAATTAGTTCTGCAGTGGTGTAAATTCTTTGACATTCTTTTCCTAGTTAAATATGGGAACTCATTGCATGGAAGTATATGAACATTAGTAGAACCATTAGGATCATTTTGCCAAGTAAGTTTAAGAATATTAGTTGAACATTAGGGTAATATAGATTGGTTACACTCCAAAATTTCCAAATTTGGCCGTCCTACATGTTCTTCCTAATTGTTAAATATGTTAGCTAATTTCATACGGATTGGAATTATTAGGATCTTACATAGCCGATTTCTCCTCGTTTCTGTTTGAATATCGTTATAAACTCTGTTTTCTCGTCCATGTCCATTTCAGTTTTTATGTTAATGTGTTATTGGGATCACAGGAGCAAATGGGGAAGGGAAGAGAGGACAGGAAAATACCAGCACATGTTCCTGAAGAACAAGATGAAATCCCTCTTTTCTATACGGACCTTATGCCACTTCTTGTAAGAAATTCTTTTTAGCTTATTTAATTCCGTACGTAGAGATGACATCAATTTGCCCTATATTGCCCCCTTTTGAGTGTGCCTTAACTAATAGAATCTGTTTTACATTAGCCACCCAAGAATTGGTTTAGATGTATAACTGGTTATCTGGTTGTTTCGGCTAGCTGGATTTTTTCTTATTCTTATTCTTTTCCTGCTCTTTTCTTGAATTATGATTTAATTATGTGCTGTGACTAGGTTAATGAGGAGCCAAGCGTTGGAGAAGATGCATTTGTTTGGTTCGGATCATTGGTTCCATTAGTTGTGGACGTTGTTAATGGGAGATTTACATTTGAAACTCTAACAGCACCTACAGGCCACCGGCTCTTTTTTCCTGGTTACAACAAGTTCTTGCAAGAAATTGACAAGTAATGCATCTGAACTGTACTTGTAAGGAATCAGTATATATGCTAATTTTATTCTTAGAGATTCAGGAAATAAAAAAAATAAAAAAACAATAATTAACGGATGAAGTTGAGTTGTCATACGATGGTGTTTTGTGTTGGATAACAACAAGGCGTAAAAAAACAACTTGGCAAGTGATGTTTCCACACATTTTGCCAGGTTTGAACTGGTTGAGGTGGAACATAGCAAACAAATGTAGTGCTGGTCATGCAGCATTCTGGTATTAAGATTGTCAAGAAGGTCTCGATATATTTAACAGTTTAAACTGGACACATTTAGTTATCTAGAATTCACGTACCTTGAATGGGCAATGATCATATTATAGTTCACCGCCTCAATATGGTAACAGCTTCACTTCAGAACAACCTTCCCCATGTATTAGTCAAGCTGGAGGTCTCAATATAATTATTTGTGGGATACAATTGCATTTGAAATGCAGTTTTTCTGATTTATTGCCTTTGGATTCTTCGTTTTATAGATGCATAAAGCATTTGCAAAAGCATGCAATGCCCAAGGGTGTGGAGCTTGCTGATTACGAGTTTATACTCCATGTCGAAGGCACCGCAAGCTCACAAAGAGTAGTGCGACATGTTGGAGGAACAAGTTGGCCTGGTATATCTTCCTTTCTTTTCCTTTCTGTACATGATTCGTAGGAATAATAAATAGGTTGTCTAATGATTTTTAGAGGTTTCTTCTTCTTTGGTGATCTGACTACAAAGTTTATTTTTCTAGGTAGGCTTACTCTGACCAATTATGCTCTCTACTTTGAGGCTATGGGAGTGATAAATTATGAAGATGCACTTAAGATTGACCTTTCGAAGAACATAGCACACACTGTGAAGCCAGAGGCCACTGGTCCATGGGGTGCTCCAATTTTCGACAAGGCCATAATTTACGAGTCTCCTGAACTGTAAGAATTACTGTGCCTTTGTAAGACTATCAGGAATTTTAGTGACCAGACATGGAATTCCTCTTATTGTTACTTGAGCCTTTTTTTTTTTTTCTTTTTTTTTTTCCTCTTGGTAGAAGATTGGCAACATTATTGTTAAAATCCCATTTGATATGCACATCTATAGATGTATGGACAGTAGAAGTCAGGGTGCATGCCTAACCTAGTACTGTTTTAGTTTTGCCTGCCTGCCTGCACGCCAAAACCTCAAGCTAGAGCATCATGACAACTAGAATACTCTTGTTGATACACCTTGTGTTTTGTGCTATTATGAGTGATTTTTCCTCTTAAATTCTCTAGATCGGAAGGAATTCTTCTAGAGTTTCCAGAGATGACAAGTTCCACAAGACGTGATCACTGGCTTGCGCTTGTCAGAGAGATTATGCTAATGCACCAGTTCTTGTCAAAGTATAATGTGGAATGTCCAATACAAGCATGGGAGATGCATGCAAGAACAATATTTGGAATCATAAGGCTACATGCAGCTAGAGAAATGCTTAGAATATCGCCCCCTTCTCCCACAAAATTCTTAATTTTTGCCTTGTTTGATGAGTTACCCAAGGGAGATTATGTGCTAGAAGAACTTGCAGAGAGCCTGAAGAAAGTTAATAGTGGGCATCCATGCAGCGCTAGCTCGATTCTAAGAATCATGAACATGTCTCAGTCAGTGCTTCCAAGTGTAGAAGTTGAAGCAGTGGGAAAGGAATGCACAAGTGCAAGTGGCCAAGAAGATATTCCCTCCACATTGGAGAGTGCTATTAATCAAGTCAGAGTGGAAGCAAAGGAGGTCGAAATTGCCAAAGCTACTACCGAGGGGTTGAAAGAAGAAGGGATTGGGGAAAGTGCCACCATTCTGATGGTAAGTTGCCTAACCATGAACCATCCAAACCTTGTGGCCTGCACAAGCCATGGCATGGAGAATTTTACTTTCATTTCAGAAGAAAGCAAAAAAGAATTTAACAGATTATTGATTTATCATCCCGTCAATTGTCAAAAAAGAAAAAATCTGTCCACTCATCGTTATTTGTAGCGTGCCATGATTCCTCCGGTGGTTAAAAGGTAGGTGTTAAAACTGATCAAGGAGAAAATTTCCCAGCTTGAAAATTGTTGAGATGATATCTGTATAAACTTTTCCAGGAATATGCAGAGTAGCATGTTTTTTATTTGTCGAAAGATTGTCATGCATCCCAAAACAAAGACCTCATAGGTTCTTTACTTTATGTGGTAGGAGTTGCTGAAGCCACTGAAAAACGTGGCCCCTTGGTTTCAAGAAGTTATTTCATGGAGAAGACCAGCCACCACCCTGACCGTGATTATTGCATCTTTAGTAATCATCTACAAGTAAGTTTTTTTTTGCATACTAATTCTCTAAACCATGATTGAAGAAGAAACTTTTGAGTTATGTGCGACTAATGAAGAATATATTGGTATTTGGTGATATAGGGAGTGGGTTGGAAAGGCAATGGCTGCTGGCTTGTTGTGGTTGGTATTGAAGATGATTCTGGCAAGGTTTGGAAGATCTCAAGACAAGTGCGTTGAGGTAGTAGTGTGCAGTGGCTCAGACCAGAAGACAACAATGGAGAGCATAGTATCAGCTCAATTTGGTTTGAAAAATGTTCATGAGATGATGCAGCTGGCAAATATATCGATATTGAAAATCCAGTCAATCATACATGCAAAAGCACATAAGGTATTTCTTGCATCAATCCATGCAAAACCCACAACGAATTTCTTGCATCAATCCAGGATTCTACTTTTTTAAAAGCAAATCTTTCCTTGAAAACTTTATTTAGCAAAAGAAATGTGTCTTCCATCATATAAACTGCACAAAATTTTATGAATAAAAATGAATGTGATTTTAACAGATTCCTGAAGTTATGAATGCTTTTAACTTTCCTAGGTAACTAATGGCTCACAATAATGATCTCGGAAAGTACTTCCCAGTGTTCTAAGTTCTCTGTTCTCTTCTCAAAGAATGTGAGCTTTTCTCACCTTTTGCCTATTCTGAGAGATATGGAAACTGAATGGAAATGTTGTTTCCAAATTCCTGAGGCATTATTGTACTGAGTTGCATATCACGCTAATGTTTCTTGGCTCAATATCTTTTTCATCCATTAAAGTCCTTGTCCCTATTTGCAGCAAGCTGATGTGGTGATGGTGGCAATGACTGTAATCGCAATAATCTTCGCTGTGCTTCCCTTAAAATACATGCTCATAGCCATCACATTACACAGCTTCATCATGACATCAAAGCTAGGGAGGTACATTGGAAATGAACAGGGGAACAGAAGGCTAAAGGAATGGTGGGATTCAATCCCAATTGTCCCCATTCGTGTGGTAGATGACGCTTCTGAATGCCCGCCAAGCCCATCATAGTTTTGTCGGTTATATATCAGCATTGGCTTGCTATATAATTGATTTTTGTGTCAGCTGCTCGTGTTGATAGCCTGCGTGGTGTAATTGAACCTTTCCTTTATGTTTTTTCCCTTTTGTCCCTTGGTTGAAGAAATGTCTTGTTGTGGTTGACAAACAGAAAATAAGTACATCTAAAAAGGGATTGCTTGTATTTCGGTTTTTGCTATTTTTCTCAATTTCTTTTGGCCATTTTCATTACGAAGCAGCTTGATAAAAGTGTTATCATCCATAAAAATACTGCACTTTTTCTCAAGGAACGTTTCACTCCATTGTCAACCTCTAATGCCCGCCTAAAAGATAGTTTGAATTTTTCTTGACATAGTTTGTAATGTTACATATCCACGAACCCCTAGTCTGTACGCTAAAATGTTGACCTTTTTCCGTCAGATAAAGCCAATCGATCATGTTTTAGGCTTGTTCCTTTTCTTCAGAAAAAGTCATGTTTTAGGTCTGTTTGGTTGACCCTCAAAAAGTTAATTTTGGGGTACAATTTGTGGGAATTTTTATTTTTTATTGTTAAATTCAACAGACAACTTAGCCAAAACAAGACGTCAGCTATGGCAGAATAAACGTTCCTAGAAAACCTGCATCCATTGTTTCTTCCAATTCATAACAAAATTGACGTAATGAGAGTTTGCCTTTTCAACCATGCAAACTTGTCAAGGAGCCACACATCAAGTCACTGAATCATCTAGGGAACAGTATCCGCTACTATGCCTTGAGCCTCTGTTAACTGACAGAGAACTTGCAAGTTTGCCCTCATACATTTCCCTTGTGGCATAAAGGTAAGAAACTGTCCGTGGGGATCAATTTACGATCGCAAGGATACATCAAAGACACTGAGAAGTCAAAGTTACCGATGCCATATTATATAGCTGCGAGTGGTAAAAATCATAACCTAACCTGTCAAGCAACTGGTACCATGGTCCAGTAATTGACAGTCCCTTAGGGCTGGTTAAGTTTTGAAAATTTTCGTCAGCCACAAAACCAGGGAAATAGGAGAAAAAGAGTCAAACACAGATAACTGAAAATAGTTTCAGAAAAGTTCAGTCATAATTTCAAGGGTCGATCCTACAAGTATGCCTCTATTTTACTAGAATTGACACATCTAATATATACAGTCTTCAGTTAATAGTTCTGCAATCTGCATATTTTCAACTTTAATCTCCTTGCATACCTATCATTGATGCAGTTCTGCAATCACTGGAACTCCAATTCCAGTCATTACAAAAACTAGTACTTGATTGTTGTCAATTTCCCCTTGCCTTCTCAAGATCAGGAAGATCTGCATTTAATGTCCAACACAGTCAGATACGGTATCACAAAAATATCAGATGAAATGGTTAAAGTCTTAAAGGTAAACTTGCACAAGCACAAAAGCAATTTTTTCGGTTTGCATAATGCATAACCCGACACTTCCTTGAAATGATATGGACTGTATAATAATGGAATAATTACAAGTTTCGTGTCTTTGTAGTTTTAGAATCAAAAAGGTCAAATTTTCCATGTGGACAGAACATGCACTTTAAAGTTTGGAAGTTCATGTGTAGATTATAAATTAGTCCCTCTAGTTTTGATAAACAGATTAATTAATCCATCCTGTGTCAAAAACTAATTATTTAGTTTTTTTTCATTTTATGTTCTTTTCTAAATTGTTTTTTTTTTTTTTTGGGTATTAAAAAATAGAAAAAAGAAAAAAGAAATAGATATTATGGAAAGATTGAGGAGAAAATAAGACATTTTATGGAATAAAGTAATATTAAATTAAGCATGGTCAACACTGGTCAAGAGACTAAATAATTAGTTTTTGAAACAAGAGGGACTATTAATTCATTTCTTGAAACTAGAGGGACTAATTTATAATTTAATCAAAAGTTCATCAATAATGATGCATATGTAGATGATAAAAATGATGTACAGACTGCATACAACACTGTTGCAAACTCCTATCTATGCATGTGAAGCACAGAAATAGGCTGCTACGTATGAAATTCTTTTGACAGTTTCATGAAAGCAGTCAAGGTCTAACTTACAAAGCATTCCTTCATTATCACTGCTCTCATCATCTTCTCCATACTGCAAAAGAACAAGCGTTAAATAATCAAGCGGACATGAGGCACTAGTTATATTAACAAATAACCAAACAGAAGAAACAAATTACCCCAGCATTATTGTCATCAGAGGCATCAGCTGCAAGAGAACAGAAATTTGTCAGATTCAATCAGAAATTGAAGCTCTAATTTCTTGCATGCTGAACAATATATTCTTGAGTTATTTAATAGAAATCATAAAGCAAATTAGAATGCCAACAAAAAAGCATATTCATATTTGATGTCATTGGTGAGATATCACTAGAGCTAAAACACTTTCTGGAAAGCCTGCTATAATAACTAGCCACCATGCAAGTTATGCAATGAATAAAGATTGATAAGGAAAAGTTTAAGCATCCCACAATGCAAAGGATTGTGTTGGGACGCAATAATGGTTGCTAACAAAACTCAAAAGCATCACCATCATGGTATTGCTCATAAATTTCCAGCATTGTTCAGTCATTCCATGCCACGCAGACTCATAGTGCATGAAAAAGTCAAGACCTAAGAACACTTTGAATGGTACAGACTAACCAATTTTTCTATAAATATCAGAATTACGCATCCTGCATTCATTGTGAGAGATTATTAATTCCGACCATACAATAGCAATATCAATATACATGGTTAATGCAACTCACTGGGTAGAAGCAATCAAAATAACTCTGAGTCTTTTAGCATACAATTCTTCTTCATGCTAGGAAGATGATATCCAAATTTCCTATATAGCTATGGTTAGAACAGTAGAGGCAACACAATTTTCCTCACCAGTAGAACCTCCCTTATATGGACTCCCATTTTATAAAGGATGGTAGAAGAATATCTTGCTTTATTAAGAAAAAGAAGCCTAAAATAGGACTCAAGAGAAAAACACTCAGTGGTACTCAAAGGAAAATAGGACCACACATAAATTGCCCAAGACGAGATAATTTAACAAGGCACACAGTAAGCACAAAAAATCCAGCTAGTGTTAGGCTTTTAGATATTAAACCACCCAAGTTAAGGGCATTAAACCATCAGTGATAGGACTTTGGGACAGGTTTTAATATCATAAAGTTCAATCAATTATGTAATACCCTAACTGTGGGCAGAATCATGATATGTTTAAAAAATTGGGCTATGTGCAGAGCTTCGAGAGACCTCACATCATAATACAAAGAACAGGTTGTAAGAACTTACAAGCTGCCACTTCGTCATCCTCATCACACCACTTGTTCCAATCCACCTTAATGTAAGGAGCAGGTTTCTCTTCAGATTTTAACAGCCTTTTCCACCAACCTTTCTCTTCTTTCTGGATTGAGCATATAATGTTCCTTAACCCAGCCTTGGTTTTACAACCCTGCACAATTACCATCAGAGACTTGAAGAATTAAAATTAAAAAGTTTCAAAAGTTTGCAATTAAAAAAAAAAAAAACAGTGGAGAAAATTTCTAGGAATTTCATATTTGAACATTGAATTTACAAGGACTACATATTGGAATTTCATCTAAACAAAATGCTAAGTTATGTGGCTCCAAGTTTCTCTAACTTGGGAGGGTTGGTCAAACAAAGAAAAAGTAAGAGGAGAAAATTCTAATCATTGGATATTATATGCTGCATCAAAACATTTAAGTAACAGGTCAGAAAAATGGGAAGAAAAAAGCTTGATCAGACAAATTTGTAAGATACAAGTTTTCTTATAAACGATGCTTATGAACACTCAGGAATAATTCCACAAAATATTCCTACTGATGTCCTTGAAGATGTGATGTACATAATAGCATTAAGAATGTCTCTGCAAGTAGAAGACAGAACCTATCCTAAGTAGCAATGCTACATCAGGGTGAACTGGAAGCCTGGCTTCATGTGAACTCATCCATCAGAATCTAGCGGAAGACTGACTGGCTCCTTGCTAACTCGTCAATAGATGATTATTGCCTTGTAAGTTAACCGCAGACAAACAGACAGGGGGGATCATCTTTCTAATTCAAAAGGCATTGCTTGGCATTGAATTGACAGCAACAAACTTTTTCCATATATAAGTTTTCTCCTTTTGTTTCCTTTTTTGAGGAGGGGAAGGGGCACGTGAAAAGATAGAGGCAAAGGCATTGTATAGGCTGTGGTTCTAGAGCTAGTGGCAACAAAAACAGATGCCAGAGACAATGATGGCTGAGGTGCTGGAACAAAACATTAATCAACACAGCAAGTGTGAATGGAGAGGTGTTAAAAGCAGAAGCGATAATGACAGATAGAAAGGACAACAGCACTTTGTAAAATCTAAGGGGAGAGGTAACGACGGTTGCATGGATTGACATTGGATGTCCTGACAACTATTCAAACTTCCTTAATCTATAAATTTTCCCATCCAAAAGAAACAGAGCATGAAGCACAATATGAATGAGTTGTTTTCTCCAAACTAACCCCATTTTTATACAAAAATGCATAAAATGAAGATGCATTAACAAGTATGGCCGAAAGGCATGCAGCAATTCTCCGCTTGGCTTCAAATTTACCAAATTAAACGTGATTTTAGCTCATCTAACAAAAGGAGCAGCAACTTCGAAAACTTCCCTTGATTAACATCTTTCTAATGAAACAAAATGACTACAGCCTATGAACTACACAACTGTGCTCTGTCCAATAAAATGACAATAGCCCACAAAATATTTCACAGTTCCATACCAAAAGAGTGAAATTACTAAGAAGAAATCAATAATAAAGCACTAACCTCAGGAACAATGTTTCCAAAGAGTTCCAAACTGAAATCAAAGGATTCACCTTGAACCCCAACAGCAGAAAAGCTAAATAACCCTTCACCTTCACATTTCACTGATATATCTCTAGCATCAGGTAATGCAATTGTCAAGTAAACCTTGTCTGATTTTTGAGCCCACAGAACCTCTGGGTTCCGACTGCACAAACAAACCACCAAAATAAAAGTAATTACAGATTGTTAAAAAAAAAAACATTGCAGAGATGGGGACAAAGGGAAGACAAGAGAAATGAACTGACCTCATTGTTTCTATGGAGGGTGACTGGTGGCAGAAACGAGGGGTCGTTTGAGGGAAATAGGAAGATGATAGTAGGCAACAGTAAAACCCTACCAAGAAGGGGGCTACTGTGTCTTTGCCAGCGGTTATTACTATTACTATGGAGTGAATTACAAATTAGTTCTCCTATTTTGAAGAAAGAAATAATATAGTCTCTGTGGTTTTATAAATAATTAATTAATCTCTATATTTTCATAATTGTTAATAACTCAGTCCATTCGTTACTCTTTGTTACTGCAATGTTGAGCTGGCCTGGCCCGGCCCTAATTTTTCCTTAATTTTTGCCACTTACTTGACGGTCAAGTATTAAGTAATTATTTTTAGGAATACAGGAACTAAAATATTTGTTTTGTAAGAGTACAAGGACTATGTCGTAATTTACTCTTTTATTGATTTATTGTGTGTTAACCCCACGCAAAGAATCTGTTTACCTTGAAAGCTACTATACACAGTAGTTTCGGAAAAAGGAGAAGTGGGGGGTTGAACAGTGTCCGATACGTTTTTGAGTTTTAACACATCTCGAATCTAAAAATTTATACTACTCTTTCGTTTTTATATCGGGCCCACACGATAGAAACAGCTAGGAGGAAGTCTTTTATATATACAAATATTCTAACTCGAAATAATTTACATAATAGATTAAAACCTCTTTTATTTGAATCAATCTTTTTGAATTTACTTTTTTGAGTGTTGATATAAGTAATTACATATATTTTTATCTTACAATTGCATTTGATATTTGTATTTTTATCCATATGATTATGTATATGATTGGTAAAAAACAAAAAAAATTTATTGACTCTATTAAGAAAAAAATAATAAAATTATAATTTCATATTTTGAGAATAACAAAAGCATAATTAATTAGTATAAAAATTGATAGAAATATTTGACTGGCAGCTTAAAAAAAAATTAATGTATTCAAATAAAAAAATTAAAATTTATATATTTGATTGAAAAAAATTAAAAATTAATATATTTATAGTGTAATTATCATGTTTATTATCTTGATAATTGTTTTCCCATTTCTAGGTAATCATTACTTAGTTGATGCTAGTTACACGAATGGCAAATGGTTTCTTGCGTTACATAGAAGTACTCGATATCCAGTACAAGAATGGGCTCGAGGTTGAAGTCTACCTCGTAATCATAAAACAAGAAGCACCCTTCAAGTAGAAACATAATTGAATGTTGTTTTGACTTACTAAAGAAAAGATGGGGTATTTTGAGGAATCCTTCCTGTCACTCAATTAAGAAACAAAATCAAATTATAATTGTTTGTTGTGAAAAAATTTTATAATACATAAGTAGTTACTTTTTAGATCTATTTTAAGGAGAGAGATAGACACATAAAAAAAGAAGAGAAATTACATTCAATACTCATCAAAGTGATAAAAAAATTTTCGTATGCCTGCTCAAATTTTTTTTATTTTCTCTCACCTCGTTTTTCTCTTTTTTTTTTTGTGCCTATCTCTCTCTTCAAAGTCGATTCAAAAAATAAGCATTGTACATATCACTGAGTTACTTCCTTATGTATTATAAAATTTCTCGCTTGTTATGTTCTTCAAAATTTTAATCGAATTAATATGGATAATGATCAGGACAGTCGCATATTTATTTTAGATGGAGAAAATTAATGCCTATGTACAACAATTATGTTGTTATCAACGGACGTCGTAATAGTGTTTATGCTAATTGGTTTTTTGCATGTAATTTATAATTGTATTTATGCAAATTCATTTATATTATTGTTTTTATCCATGACAAAATAGTGTACGATAATTATTTTTTTTGAAAAATAATTTTAATTTATTAGGAAGTTACAATTTTAAATTAGCTAAAAATAAAAATTTAATTACTCAATGTGAATTTCAATTTAAAAAATATGTTTAATTATTGTTTCAAACAAGTCAAGTTTACTGATAATATAAATCATGCGTAACAAAAAGACTTTTCCGCATTTTCTTTTGTCTTGTCCTCAGTAAAACAAGCAAAATATGGGGAGATAGTTCGAACTCTTATTCATCTTCCCTTTATTGGCTGAGACGGCCTTACACATAATTTTTTTAGTGGAATTTTGGGCTTATAAGTCGTTTTCCTTCGTTTCGAGCCGATGTCAGGAGGGACGAACGATTTACTTTTGCCGAAATTCAAATTAAAGACATAAGAATTCCCAGTTGTTTCCTCCATAACCACTTCAACTTGCTCCTCAGGATTCGAGTTGCTACTGTCAATGTGTGCGACTCGATGAACCAGGAACGAACTAATTCCCTCTTCAATATACACTACTGCATGCTTTTCCTTTGATAATGGCTGCTGGTTGAGATGACCAAGAATTGGGCTCGTGGATTTAGCTTAGAAAGCAAAATAGTCCTTGTGACTTTTCTTTACAGAAGGGAGCTAGGCTGAAGTAACTGGTTGGTCTTTTCAAGTAGGGCTTTTCATGAGAGTTCTGTTGGAAGCACTTTTGGTTGGAGTGGATGCGGGTTAGGCTAAAGTAGAAGTGGGCTATGTGACTCATCTAGGCCTTTCTGGTAGCAAATTGGGCCTGACTTGGGTAGAAATTATTGATGTTAGCCTAGATTGTACTAGTTAGTTTTCCGCACTGCTGCGGGTCAAATAAAAAATTTTTTTCCCCCAATTTGATAATCTATATTATATTATTATCATCTAAAATATATAAAATTAAAACTAAAATAAAAATTTTAATCCAATTTCATAATTTTTAATAAAAAAATTATATTTAATTTATTTTTTTATGTTTTTCATAAATTTTGTAATAAAAAAAAAGATTCATATTGTTTAAAATTAATCTTTTTAGTTTGGTATTTTTTATGAAAACTCTCATCAAATTAATTTTTTATTATTTTTTATATAATTTGATTCGTTAAAAAATATGATTTATTTTCTTTTATGTGTAGATTTTCGAATAAGTTTTTTTCGATAAATAATCAATTAAAAAATCATTTTAAAATATGAAAATCATAACGTATATATTTCATAATCATCGGTCTTTATGAAAAATCAAGTAAAATAACAATTGTTTTTTCATAATTTTCGCATTCAATTAAATAATAAAAAAAATTAAAATAAATTGTCAAAAAAAAAGGCAAGCATGCGTGCTTGGTCCATCTAGAGATCAGAATAACTAATAATTGATTTTTCATAATTTTTGCATCCAATTAAATAATAAAAAAAGTAAAATAAATTGCCAAAAAAAAAGGGCAAGCATGTGTGCTTGGTCCATCTAGAGACCAAAATAACTAATAATTGGTTTTCATAATTTTTGCATATAATTCGATGATAATAAAAATTAAAATAAATTGCGACAAAAAAAAAAAAAAACAAGTATGCCTGCTTGGTCCATTTGGGAATCAAAAATATATTTTGAAAATACGAAGGATCAAAATGAAACAAAATATTAAATTTATATATGAATGTCAAAAAATTCAAAAATCACAAAAATATCATATTGTACAATGAAAGAGTATGGTATTGTACAATAAAAAAGTGTGTAAATAATGTTTCAAAAAAATCGTTTGAGTATTGTAATCAATTTTAATTATGTGGATCATATTGCTTGTAGTACGTAAAATTCAAAGATTATATCAATCCACAAGCAAATATAAAAAAAGAACCCATATAATTTTCTGACTCATTTGTAAAATACGAAATTAATAATTTTAAGATCGTGTAGTGAGACAGAGATAAAAAAATTATCTATAGGCCACCCACCAAAGCATAAAGGTAATCCTTCTTGCTGAAAAACTAGATACGATAGAACTTGTTTTCCATATCAATAACACGAAAATAATATGGGTTATTCCAAATAGTTTTGAGTCTATTACGTAAGGCTCTGTAACCCATTATTCATCCCTAAACCTTAACCACACTAGTTTGTTTTTATAGTTTGTGGAAAACGAGCTCTAAAAATCTAATAACTCGATAGCAGGGCCTTTCTTCTTCTCAGCAACCATAATATCTTTCTACTCAATAAAAAAACAGCAGCATTTTTTTCATATTGACCATTTATCATGTCAATTTTATAATTGAGTGCTTATTCTTTTGTCAAGTTATCCGTTAGAGAATTACTTATCCTAAACCTTTCATGTTTTCAGTAATCTGATCTGTTTCATTAAAAATAAGATTTTCTGCTTCTCTAATAGAAACAACACTTAAATGCTTTTGCTTTTCATTTATTTTTCCGGTATTTTGAATCTCTTTATTCACACAATTCAGGACCAATATTTAATTTGTATATCATTTCAATCACTACCACAAAATAAACATGAGACTATTTGATAAAAGTTTTTTTTTATGTTTGAATTCAAATTCAACACTAAATAAATACAAACTAATTAAATACTTGTCTTAAAAATCTTCTGAATTACTTTTATCATTTCTATAAAAAAAAATATAATTTACAACTCGAAGTTTAAGATTATTTTTTTTTCTGCAATAAATATGGGGAAAAGGTCTTTTTAAATTTGCACGGTACCCTTTTCTCATGTAATTTGCAAAAAAATAAAATAATTTCTGGCATTCACAAGGAATGCATGCGTCCATTGTAAATGCCACAAATTCTCTCTCTTTCTCCCCTCATGCCAAAAATTCACATTATATATATATATTATTATTATTATTATTATTATTTTTTTTTTAACCCCCAAATGATTTCACTCATGTACCGTGACACAAAACCTAACAGCCTCCCTCTCCTTCTTTCCCACTACAACCACTGAAACAGGCCACTCTCCTGAAAAATGTCACGCGATTAAAACCCAAACCCTAACAAAACCTGCGCCATCAAAACCCTAACAAAATCCTCCTCCGCTTCTCTCTCAACACAAAAACGATGACCCAAAGCGACGCATATAAGGACGAAACGGCAGAAGAAGAATTCCCCAAGCAATCCCAAACCTTACAAACCCTAACAGCTACCCAATTATCCAGTTCAGTTTCAAACCTCTCCGCCTCCTCTCGCGCGATTCCATCGAATAAAGACTTCCATTTCTACTACAATTTCGACGAATTCAAGCTCCCGATTCAAGAAATGGCAGCGAAGTCGCAGTCGCTACTCGAATCAATCGGGTCTTCCTCTTCAAATCATATTTTCAAAGAGAAGTTACAGTTCCCTACCGATGTTGACATGGACGAGGCTTATGATTGGTTAGTGAATGTAAACGATGAGATTTTTGAGCGTTTTGATACTTCAATTGATGAATTTAAGAAAATCCGAGAGGAAACGGGTCGGGTTGAGGGCGTGGATAGTGAGGATGGGTTTCAATTGGTGCATGGGAAGAAGAATAAAAAGTTAATGAAGAAAGCCATTAATGATGACTCAGTGAGTTGTGCTGTTGGTGAGTCAGGAGTGAAGGTGGCGGATAACAAGAAGGGGATTTTGGGAAATAAAGCCAAGGTTCCGTTTCATATACCGACAATAAGGAGGCCACAAGAGGAGCATAATATTTTGGTTAATAATTCGAATAGGGCTTTTGATCATGTTTGGTTGGAGAGAAGCGAAGATGGGTTGAGGGTTATTCATCCACTGGTTAGTGATTTATACATTTTAGAGTTCTAAATTGTGTTATTGGGTTTGATTCACATGGTTAATCTGATTATATTTGTAATCTTAGACTTTTGGAAGCATGTATGCAGAACTGTTTTTTTTTTTTTTTTATACAAATGATATGAAAAGGCTGAAGGGCTGAAGTCTTAAGAAAGAGTATAGATAATCTCTGCACTACAACGTCTTATTTCTGAACCATCTTTTGATAGTAATTCGTAAAAATGGTGCAATGTGGTTTGAATCTGTATACATGGTTGAAGAAGTGATCAAGCATTCTATTGATTTTTCTTCTTTCACAAATGTTTTGGGATGTTAATTTGATTTCTCTGGTTTTGTTTCCTTGTCAAGGACATTGAATAACTTCTGATTCGTTAGTATCTCTAAATATTTTGATTTCTATATCTGACCTGTATTCAAAGAGGTTTAGTTGATCTTTACCATTAAGCATTTCTTGCTGCTATCTTTACCTTACACGGTTCTGAGTACCTTAAATATCTAGTTTTTTTTTTAAAAAAAAACAATTGTTTGATGTTGCTATTACTGCCAAAATAATTCCCAAGCTACAGACGTAGCGAATGAAGTTAATTAGTTGGTTTGCCTCAATCTCACTTTAACTCTGTTCAATATATGCCTCTCCCCTTCCTTCCCTTTCCTCTTCCTTCTTGGAAAAAGTTCCCAGTTATTTCCACAGGATTCATCTGTTACTTTAGTTTCTAGGTGCCTGACTGCCGCCACCCCATTAGATCTGCTGGGTGCATTGTTTACAATTTGTCTGGGCTTGTCTAGTGACATGAATAAGAACAGCATCATTTTTTATATCCTTATTTTGGAAATATTCTGTACCAGAAAGTTTTAATCCTTGAAGGTAATTTCCATGATTGGGAAACCTTTCTTTTGACACTAGTGGGGTTCATTGTCCTCCCTGCCTAAACAACCTTGATTGACGGATTTGTGAAGCAATACTGTATCTCCCATAGGTTTTCGTCGCAACTAGAATTGATAGCTAAGAGACAGATGGTGACTGTTTTATCAATGGATAAGCTATTTGTTATCCATTTGCATGATCACGCGATCTTCTGATTATGTTTGTGCTCTGCATGGTTATGTTTCAATTGGTGATGGATTCTATATAATTTGAGAGAATATGTGTTCCTGTGACATCATTAACTATCTTTTGGTGTATAACTATGTGTTTGAAAGCCTGTTGGTTTAATTTTTTAATATATGCATGCTGTTTACAATTTCATTACCACTGCGATATGATTTGGATCTAGCTATTGATTATTATTCTCATTCAACTTTACTAGCTTTTTGCTTACTTTATTCTATATTATTTGGTCATGCTTTCTGAAAAAGAGAAGACTCTGGTTAGCTTCTAATTGTTTCTCTTTCATGTGTATAGGAAAAGCTCTCTGTTCTTGATTTTGTGGATAAAAGTATTGGGGATGTTGAGCCTGCACCTCCTCTTCCAATAGAGAGTACTGCATTTAAGCTTGTGGAAGAAGTCAAGGATTTGAAGGAATTGGCAGCTAAATTGCGTGGTGTAAATGAATTTGCGGTAAAAACTATTTCAATTGTCATCGCTAGTTATATCCATTGAATAACTAAACATAGATGTTGTATGAATTTCATTTGGTTTCTTTCTAGAGTCCTCAAATGCACACTCTTTTTTTATTCTATTGGAGTTTTCATCGTTTGATTATTTTTTTCTTATCATAAAATTTTGCAATCATTCTTGAAGGTTTAATTAATGGTGACTATATTGCTTTATAGGATTACTTTTAAACAAATTTTCACCATTGATGATAGCTTCATTGACTGTTTTGTATATATCCTACATGCCAGTTCAATGCTGGTGGATGCTTCTCTGTTTGTTTACCATTTGCGCAGGCTAACCTTTTTTGGTCCAATGTCTAGGTTGATTTGGAGCACAATCAGTATCGATCTTTTCAAGGATTGACATGCTTGATGCAAATTTCTACCAGAACTGAGGATTTTATTGTAGATACTTTAAAACTTCGAATACATATTGGCCCTTATCTTAGGGAAGTTTTCAAGGATCCTGTCAAGAGAAAGGTCTGGCATTGAATTTCTTCTTGTTTCTTGCTTTATTAGGTCAGGTTTCTTCACATTTGTGATATCATTTAATTTAATCAGGTCATGCACGGAGCAGATCGAGACATCATGTGGCTTCAACGGGACTTTGGCATATATATCTGCAATCTGTTTGACACTGGACAGGTCTTGTACTTGGACTTGATTGCTTCTCATAACCACTTGATTTTATTTTTCTTGTTTCTCAATGGTTCTTTATGTCAATATTGTAGACCATGACTTTGCAAACTCATTTTTGCAATGGTTGATTCAGAAAATCTGGCATCATAGTTTGTTGATGGTTTGCTTGTGCAAATTTGGCAGTATGCTGTGTGATCTTGTGCAATTTGATTTTTCTTATGCACTGCCTCTTCTGTCATTAAATATATTAGGTCGTCCATTTTTTGTATTTTCTATCAATTAGTTTCTTGATGTCAATTTATGTAAGAGGGTCTGGCTATGGAAATCAATTTGTTAAGTTCTTGTGTCCCTTTTAAACAAAGGTGTTGGACCCTTTTTCTTGCACCTATTAGTGGATAATTCACCAGAATTTCATTGTGTTATTTTTGATGACCTAATTCTTCCAACACCCCCCCCCTCCCCACCACACACACACACACACAATTCTAGAAAGTTCATTAGCATTTGGTGCTTCTTATGATTAATTTTGTTTCAATCCTCAGGCCTCTTATGATTAATTTTGTTTCAATCCTCAGGCCTCAAGAGTACTGAAGTTGGAAAGAAATAGTTTGGAGTACCTTTTAAATCACTTTTGTGGGGTTACTGCCAAGAAAGAGTAGGTCCTCTCATGTAATCACTTGATCTGCCACTGCTTATGGTTTGATTCATATAACTTTGCACATATTTGCGTTTTACCAGAGTTGACCTGTCTGTTCCTTGCAGATACCAGAATGCAGATTGGAGACTACGCCCTCTTCCTGATGAGATGATAAGGTGAATGGATATTTTTAGAAATTGTGTTTTCCAAACTTGCCCCCTGCACATTTTATGTTGAATTTGCTTGAAGGTGCTCATTTGATACAAAGGAAGAACATTTGTCAGTAATATACAAGAAGTTTCAGAAATTCTTTGGATGACAAACGATAAAAAGAGAAAAGAAAAGAAAGAAAGATCACTGTGATGAACTTCATTTTAGACTACACTGACTAGACATTGTCAGATATTATGGATACCTTATGATATCATGTTTCCCTAGAGATATGAAACTTTTTTAATAATACAGTCTTGTATAGTAATGTGCCATGGAAAATATCTTTGACTGCATAGGTGAAAAAATGATCTATGCCAACTATTTGAACATAGTTTGACTCTGGCAAACACCAAAAATGTCCTTGACCTTTTAATGGAAAAAACAATCCATCTAAATAAATCTGAGTTTACTGGTACATTTGTAGAACTGATTGCATGAATTATTTTCTCAAGATTCCAGCATATGTTTTGATCTTTAATGTGAGGTTGTAGGTTGCAGAAGCATGAAAAGAATGGTTATTGAGTAGTATGTTTCATGCAAACCCCACCACCCTTCATAGTGCTCTTTTAGTGTAGTGTGACATCTTCCCTTACAAAGATTTTCTTATTTTTTACTATTTTATTCACTCATTTCAAGTGCATATTTCAATCAAGATTGATCAATCAGTGTCTAATTTTCTGTTATACTAGCCAAAAGTTTTCATCTGTTGAGAATGAGATTGTTCTTCTGATACACGTAGATATCTGGTTTCTGGAGGAATGATGTTTCTATATTTGATTTCTTTTATAGATATCATTTAAGAAATTCAATTTAGATAATTGTAAATATCAAAGTCAAATAAGATTTTAACAAAATTGAAAAGGGAAATCATGTAGGAAAAAAAAAAAAGAAATCTTTAAAAATGGAATAGAGGTGCAGAAAAACATATTGGTTAAACTTTTTGTTCATTATTAAAAAGTCGAAGAAAAAGGCCGGTGTTAGCTGAATGGACCACAAGTGAGCAGATGTGCAAATAGAAGAAAAAGTTCCATGTAGTGGTAAAGCTTCTTTTGTGATAATCATTGTATACAATTTGTTGTTTGGAAACAGCATGGATTAGGACTTGCATGATGCTCTCTGAGTAGTCTTTCTAGCTAGTTCATATCTCCGCCTGCTGTTTTAGCTTCATTATCATTTGCATTATTGATTTTTGTTTAGGTGAAAGTTGCTAATGTTAACTTTCAACAATTATCTAATGGGCAACTCTTTTTTGGTGATAGATATGCCAGAGAAGATACCCACTACCTGCTGCATATATATGATTTGATGAGGGCACTTTTACTCTCAAAGCCTAATGACAATGAAAATGCTGATCCCCCTTTGTTAGAGGTATGGTTTTGATAAGCAATAGGGATTTTCTAGATTGTTCAACTATATGAGAGAATGAGACGACAGAGACTGGGGATGAAATGTGACACTTGTCATCTGTGTTTCCACTATTTTATGTGGGAGCTGAGTCATTTATTTTGGTATTTTTCGTAGCCATTATTCTTGCTTGGCAATATTTTTAATATTTTCTTTGATTTGCACATCTCTGGATAAATGCAGACATGTATGAAAAATGCCAGATTGCTTGAATTCTGTAAAATTGAACATTGTATTTAACGTCTCTATTTTATGTGGTTATGACTTATGAGTCCTTTAATGCTGCAATCTTGATTTCTTCCATGTATTCTCCAGTGGGAACTGGGAAGGCTTTCCTTTGCCTGATTACTCTGGTCGATTATGATCTTAAAAGTAGGTTATGGTCATTCTTTAACCACAACATCACTATATTGAGTGAGTTGTTGTTGATGACAGGTCTACAAACGCAGTTATGATGTATGCATGCAGCTGTATGAGAGGGATCTTTTCGCTGAAAATTCGTATCTTCACATGTATGGGTATGTTACTGACCATTCTGTTATGATTCCATGTACCATCACATGAACTGTGTAATATTTCGTACAGACATGCTGTTTTTTTCTTTTATTTGGGATTGGCTTTCTGAAAATTTGGCTGTGTCTGTGCCTTTCTTTTTCTCTGGCATTACTATATCTTTGATCAAAATCAATCAGTACTGATTTCTATTTTTTTTCTGGGTGTTATTATGTCTTGATTTAGGTTGCCTGGTGCTGGTTTCAATGCTCAGCAGCTTGCCATTGTTGCAGTAAGTAGTTGCCTATTGTCATTTGCTTATTTAATTTGTCAAATTGAGTGGACTAATACTGCATAGATACAACTTTGTTGCCAAGTTAGTATAGTCTCCTGTTTAAAATTTGGGGTATTTTGCCTACTTCATTTCTTTGTATGATTTCAAGGGGCTTTATGAGTGGAGAGATGCCATTGCCCGTGCAGAAGATGAGAGCACAGGTTATATATTGCCAAACAAAACTCTTATTGAAATTGGTAAGAATCTTCTCAAATTTGTCATAACTTCAACTTAGTCTAATATCTTATGGTAAATGTTGACTCTTAAATCCTTGTTTTTTTGGAAATGGTGAAAGCCAAGGAGATGCCTGTTACGACTAGCAAATTACGTCGATTGCTGAAATCAAAGCACTCATATATTGAACGACACCTTAGCTCCGTTGTTAGCATCATTAGGCACTCCATGCAAAACTCTGCTGCATTTGAAGCTGCTGTTCAACATTTAAAGGAGAAACACATGGAAACAGTAAGACTTGCTTGCACAAATTTGATGATCTCCACGTATTATAGAGGTGTCTCAGTCTTGTATCGAGGCTTTTTTTTATGAATTTGAACTTACAATTACAAATTCATGTGTTAGGTGGTGTTACTCTGACTTCAGTTGTGAACTAAAAACTATTGATATTCTCGATTCTCAAAAAAATAAAATAAAGAACATAATTATTCTAGCTGAAGTGGTGGGTTTTAGGTGCTTAAAGTGAAGCAACCTATTCACTGAAGATTAAAAGAGCCTGGGCAACATAGAAGTTGCACTCTAATTTGGAAAGCTGGGCAAGTAGAATGTGCTCGGGGCAATCTGAATTGTCTTCCTGCATGGCTGGGTTTGTTTAATAACTGCTCAAAATTCATATGGTCCTTTGAAATAAATTTGTAATCATGTTTCCCACAGAGTTGGAGACTTAACGAGGATACACTTTGGATTCTTACTTTGCTGTGCATGCTGTTGCTGCTTTTCTTTTTTCTCTCTCTACCTTTTGTCCCTCTTTTATTTGATAACTGAGATTTTTTTTTTTTTTTGAAGGCATCACAAGAAGATGCAGAAGCTAATGATGGATCTGAAGCAAAAAGCATTTGTGGTGGCAATGGAATGAACAGTGGTGTGGCTATCTGCCCTGAAACTTCTGTGCATCTGAAAACGGGACTTTTGAAGCAGGGAAGCAGTATTGTTGAACTTGGCAGAGGTGAACTAGGAAGCTCTGCCAAGCATCATGGTGAAAATGGTGAAATGAAGAATGGATCCAGTAATATTTCAGATACATCTCCAAAAGGAAAGGTTGTGGATATTTGATAAGTTGATCGATATTTATTTTTGTTATAGATCCTTAGACTAACATGTTCACTTTTTTCTGCTCAGGTTGCTGGAGTAACTGTTCAGGTTCTCAAGAAGCCAACTGGTGCTTTTGGCGCACTTCTTGGGGGTGCAGCGACAAAGAGGAAACTTGGTACTGATAAAAAGGTGAGCATTCTACCTTGACTTTGCTTCCTCTTCAACAATGTAGACAGCATCTCAGATAATCCAGAACATAGTAATGAATCCTTCACTTGGGCGGCCTGCCTTGCGCTTGAGTTTCTCGAGTACATTAATTTGAATGGTATTAAAATCAGTCTCACACGCTAAATGAATGGTGAAGGATGGAAATGTTTTTGGCCGCCCCCCCCCAACCCAGTTTTTTGTCAGTTGAACTGTCATTATTTAGCATGGGTCTTTCATACTTATTGGTAATTCCACTGTGCTAGTCATTCATACCATGAAACACAACTTGGGTGTCAACATGCTTAACTGAGGAAGTTGTCTTGATGCTTCTCAACTGCTTTTTATGCTTGGTTAAAAATCCTTGAATCTGGTTTTGACTTCTGGCTGACTTTTTTAGGTCAATGAAGAGATCAAGTTAGAAAAGATAAGATCTTCAGTAAACCTTCCATTCCATTCGTTTATGGGCAGAAATGAACCTCCAAAACCAGTAATAGAAGAGACCGTTGGAGTTACAGAAATTTCACATGCTGAAGAATCTTTGGCTGTCCCAGCTACTGGTTCTAGTTTGGAAGATATAATAATGTTGGATGATGATTCGGATATGGAACAAAACGCTCATATTGCAGAAACAGAGAGAGATGATTCCAAAATCACAAATGTCAATGGGGATGACGAATTTTCAGGATCTGCTTTGGAAACAGATGAAGGTGAGGAACCCGTTTCTCTCTCTGATTTGTCTAGTAGTTTCCAAAAGTGCTTGCAATCCAGTAATGAAAATAGAAAAACTCTAGAAGCTAAGAAATCAGGAGAACCAAGTGGCAGTTTGAAGCTGAAGCCATTTGATTATTCTGCTGCACTAAGATTTGGTGAGGATCCATCAGGTAAGTTGAAAGTAGGGAGTGCCAAAAATCAGAGGGGCGTGCTTGACTGTGTGGCTACGATAAAAACTTCACCGGCACCCAGAGCACAAAAGGATGACGAGACAGGAGAATTTTGCCAAGGAAGAAGACGTCAGGCCTTTCCTGCAACTGGGAATAGGAGTGCAACATTCCGATGAAGTGCAATTTGAGTCTTAGTTGTAAAAACAGTTAAAAGAAAATTACTCTTTAACAATTGGAAATTTAATACAATTTCACAAGTTACCATGGGTTCTGGATCACAGCATTTTATTCTATGGATTCTGTCCTCCGATCATAGGCACCTTTTACATTGGTGACAACTTTATGTTTTCATGGATTTCATGCAAAGTGGTTGGGGTCCGAGTAGGTTGGTTATGCTATAGAGTACAAAAGTAGCGAGAAAAAACAATTAGATTGGAGAACAGACTTGAAATTTTGTGGGGTGTTTCTCTTATGTTTGGATGAGCGGTCAAGTTGGATTAGTGGTGGTGGTGTTGGTGTTGTAGGCATGCTGGTTTTTTGGTCTGCGGTAGTATTAAACACGAAAGTTGGAGTGAAAGAGATGGTTTCTGCTCAAGGCCTTGTACATGTTACTAAAGAGAACGAGTGACGAAAGATAATTTGCATTGCCAATGAAGGCCGAAACAAATTTCTTCTCACCCTGTTCGTCATTTTTTATAGGTAGGGATCTTTGAAGCAAAGAGTCGGCTCAACAATGGAAGACTAGCTGGTGCTGATTCTATTATTTGCATTTGCAAACTCTGAACTCCCTGTCTTCTGTGACCGTTTTATTCTTCTCAACTCACTCTCCTTTTCCATTACTACATTTTAAATCTTTTTAGGTTACCCATGTGATTGTAAAGTATTGAAATTGCCAAGCAAATTACTATCACTCACGTCCAAAGAGGGTTCCTTTTAATTCAAAGTTCTTGTAATTGAAGTAGACATTGTTTTTATCCGCCACCTCCGAAATACTTCTAGGCTTTTGACCTTCTGTTTGAAATAAGTTCTACTTTTCACTTGAGTCCTACATGGACATTTAACTATTTAACCATTAGTAATCTCATAAACGAACTTTTTTAAAAAATATATATAAATTCTCAAATAAAAACATACGTTAAGGATTCTTGCTATGAAATATCAATAATTCTATATTTATTGCATTCATATTTTAACATTTATTGGTTGACTAATTAGTTTGTACGTAATTTTATTGAGTAAATTATAAATTAGTTTCTTTAGTTTTAAAAAATTAATTAATTAGTTTTTTTTCAAAAAATAATTATTCAATTTTTTTTGTCTATTTTATGTTTTTTAATTTTTTTTAATAAAAAAATAGATATTTTAGAAAGATGGATAAGAAAAGACGACATTTTATAGATAAAAGACTATTAAATTAACATTGGTTAAGACACTAAATCCTTAGTTTTATAAGGATTAATTAATTCTTTTTCTGAAACTATAGAAACTAATTTATAATTTACTCAATTTTAATATAAAAAGTTTGTTTGTAGATCATTTTCCTATCCATTTTTGAGTTTTTTTTTTTTTTTTTTTACATAATTATAGCTTGACAAGTCATATAAAAACAGGAAGATTAGAAAAGGTTCTAATTAAACTGTCACCTCCCCTATTTTTATTGTGACAGAAAAAACCTTGAGCCGTAATCGGTTAACCATTTTCTCTCTTAACCATGCCAAGTTATTAAGCCATGGTTCTTGTAGAATTTCTCAGCACACCCCCACACAACCCAACCGAAGATGAGCCCAAGGCCGAGCAATTGGGCAAAGCAAGGGAAGGCAAGGCAATCAACTCTCAAACAAAGCTTAATTGAATTTAATTTGCTAAATGACGTGGCACACGCATGATTGGATCCATGACGTGGCACCTATTTATTGGATTACTGACGCGTCCCTCCCTGTTTCTGCTCAGCATCTGACACCATTTCGTTCTTGAATTCATTTCCATGAGAAACAAAAAAAAAAACTGAGAAATTGAATTCTTCTCTTTTCTTTGGGCTCTCTCAATTCTTACAATTCATTTCAAGTAAAGTAAACTATTTAACAACTATCTTTCTCTTTATTGAAGACAAAAATTCTCTTTTAGATATCTCTCGGTACAAAAACCAAATCGAAGAATGGCGATGGAAGGAGGAGGGGGTACAATATCGGAAGTATACCAGAGTGCGAAGAAGTTGCTAATGAGAGCACAAGACGGGATCGAGAGACTGGAGCGACTGGAGAACTCGACTTCTAGTGGAGGATTAGATTCACCTGAGCTATCTTTCGCCGTGAAGAAGGATATCTCTCAGGTTCTTTCAGTTTGTGCCGATATGGATCGTCTCTGGCGTTCTGTTCAAGCCAAACCTCAACGCGATCTCTGGAGAAGGTATCATATTCATTTTTTTGTTTGCTTTTTTCAGATTTTAATTATATCAACAAAAAAGTTAGGGTTTCTGTTTTGCTTGAAATGTGTAAAAAAAGGCGCATTAGTTTTGATTGTATTTTTCTTTGTCAATTACTCTCTTTCGTGGTAAAGTGAAATTAGTTTTGCTGGATTTTCTTAATTTTTGATGTTCTCAGTTGATGGATTGATGGTTCTGTTCTTTTATTTATGTGTGAATGCTTGCTAAATGTGAATGATACAGCGGAATACTCCCCTTTTACTTTGGAATAGATCCGGTTAAATCTATAGTCTGTAAATAACTTATTGGTCTTCTGATTGCAAGGATGCTAAAAGCTTTTTGAATTTTTAATTCAAGATTGGTATTCTAAAGTCCATGCCAGTAGAATATAGTTGATGCTAGGAAGCCAAAGTTAGTGGGGATTGCAAGATTTAGAATTTGTTGTATGTTAGTGTCAAGACACCTGCCTGCATAAATTGATTTTAATCACCTATGTATTCCGTGCGGCATAAATTTCACGATAGACATGGGGATGAGTTCTCTGCCAAGGAAATGCTGGAAGGCTGTTTTGATCATGTATGGTTTATCTGTAATTCATCAGTTTTATAACGACATTCACTATGTTCTACAAAGTCATAATTTTAACTCCAAGGAATTGCTGGAAGACTATTTTGATCATGTTTGGTTTATCTGTAATTCATCAGTTTTATAATGACATTGACTATGTTCTACAAAGTCATAAATTAGCTCCAATAATTTAAAATCTGGTGTTACCAAAAGGGATGAGGGTGAGTTTATTGAAACGTGTGAAGTTGTCACTTTTCGATCTTGGTTTTTTTTTTTTTCTTCAATGATAAAATAGGATAATATTCTCTTCATGAAGAGTGTTTGGGATTAAGGATTTCTTGTTGTTGAAGAGCAAAGCCAGCAGATGCATCTTGTGTATTATACATGTGATTTTTGAATTACATCTTTTAACAAATATGTTAGAAGAAAGAACCTTTTGATTAAACTATCCACCTAGCAGGGATGATAAAACTTTTTTCCTTTGAACCCTTGTTCCATGATCTTAACTTGTGACATTTGGAGCAACTCTTCATCTAGAGAATTACCTCTATAGGAGCTTTTTACTTGGGCTGTTGAATTAAGCTCTTTCTGGGTTTCAATTGGTGCATTGCTCTTATTGCATATTTAAATGAATACAGCTATTTGAGTGTCAAAATATTTTGTGATATTGTTTCAAGTACAGTTGAAATAATATTTGTGGCTTTTGAAATTAAGTATTCAGATATGTTGTAGTTATGCTCGCTATTTTGATTTAAGGAATTTTCCTTGTAAATCTTAGTTTGGATGTTTCAATTTATCAAATGTTGACAGAATGAAACCAAGTTGTTTTAAGTGTTGTAGAAACTACATGGCTTACCTTTTCCTTCAAGCGGTGGGCTTCTTTTCTTTCTTATTCTTTTTTTTAGGGGGATTGCAACCCATTGAAGTCTATTCCATGTGTGCCTAGCTCAATGTTAGGGGTTTGGTCACCGAATGAAATCTTTATGATGTGCTTGTGCATGAATGTGTGCATGTGTCACTTGTACCTGCACATGCATTTATTTATTATTATTATTATGGCTGGGATCTTGATGGGATGAATTTGATGTTTCGTTGCACAGAAAGGTGGAACTAGTAGCCGAAGAGGCGGGATCATTGAAAGAGAGTTTAGATAGATATTTCGCAAGGAATCAAAGACGGATGAAGGAAGCTCAGGAGAGAGCAGAATTGCTTGGAAGAGCTGTATGTTTTCTATTTATTTTTTAATGGTATCCAACTGGTCAGAGTGCTTGCTTTTTCTGAAACTTCACTTACTATGTGATGTCTATTTTATATTCCAGAATGGCGACTCAGCTCATGTTTTGAGAATATTTGACGAAGAAGCACAAGCTATGCATTCAGTTCATAATTCAAAAAGAATGCTGGCAGATTCTTTATCAACTGGAGCAGCCATTCTTTCCAAATATTCAGAACAAAGGGAACGCTTGAAGGTATCTATGATAGCGTGATCAAGTCCTTGCATACTCAATTGCACATCAGCTGCCCATAGAATATATTTATCTACTTTCTTCACCAAAAGGCATATTTTGCAATAATTTAGAGTATTGTAATATTGCAATAATCCCATCGACATTTATGTTTTGTTACCCGTTAACAAGCAAAATAACCACCCCAGCTTTTCTTTCTCTCTAGAGTTATTGATAAAAAAAAAATACTGGTAAGCTCTATACTTGTCATGTTGTTAAGGGCATAAATGGCTTCATTGTGGTGCTGGCAGTGGTCATTATTTTAAAGCCTTGTAGACCTAGGATATTCCTTGGCTATAGAAAATCTAGATGGAAATGGTGGTTCTTCAACCTTGCATTTTCTAATTACCTATATAACTGGTCACAGTTTATGAATGTTAAGATTTTTATGTCCTAACCTCTGTATCTCTTAAAATGTTAAGAAAAATAACAGAGAGAGAAAATGATGTCAGTTTACAAGATTTTATGCTATATAATTACGTATATTGTTTAATGTGAAACACTATCTTCACTATCTTTTGCATGGCAATTTAAGTAGTAGTAAAAAAAAAAAAATTCTTGAATTTTAGGTAGTGGCTAAACACTACATCAAATTTGGAAGCACGCTTGATGTAGGTTTTAGTAGAATATTTTAAATAATTTTATATCGCATAAGTTTAAAGAAAAGTCATATCCTGATTTCAACTGTTGCCTGGTACAGAGGGCACAACGCAAAGCTTTGGATGTTCTTAACACAGTGGGGCTTTCCAATGCTGTGCTGAGGCTGATCGAGAGGCGTAACCGTCTCGATAGATGGATCAAATATTTTGGAATGCTTACTACACTCGTTATCTTGTATTTTCTCATTAGGTCAAGTGGTTGAATTGCTCTGGGCTGTTCGTTGCAAATCTAAGGAATTTTACAAGTACTTGAAAAATACAAAATCTTATGGGATGGATTGGGAAGAAAGATTGTTCGCGCTCCTTTTAAAATGTTCAATTTCTGAATATTTTTTGTATGTAGTCTGAAGAGGAGGTTATATGATTGAAAAGTTTCGTTTGCTGTTACTGCAAAACAAATCACAATAGCTTCAGGTCTTCAATTTCATTTCTATGCTTATTATGTGCATGCTATTAATTTACGAAGCCAATGTGAAGAGCAAATCCGTGTGCAAATCTAGAGTTCAAGGATACTAATTACAATGAAATATAATTTTGAGGGATTAACATTCAATCTTCTTTGCCCTTGCTTGTTAATTTTTTTCTATTTGAATTGAACTCCGTTTGTCAAAGAGCTTGTTGCTCAATGATGGTAGTGGTGGTGGTCTCTTACATCAGGCAGTTATGAGTGTAAATCTTAGCAAACTCTTGGTAGTGTGAGTTTAAAAAAAAAAAATTGAACTCGATGATAATGTTAAAATTGAATTTAATTGGTCAATACGTTTAAATCATGTGCTTGGAACCAAAATCTTTCAACTAAATTCAATTCATTTTGTATCCTATATTAACTTCGTCTTCTTCACTTTCTCCTTTACAAAGCACAGTCAAACTTGAAAAAAATTAAAATCTACGGCTTACAAATCAAAAAATTTAATCAAGCCTCAAAAAACTAAATAAAAGCATAGATCCTTCTATTTTTTATTTTCAAAATTAAAGTGGGTATCTTTGAGTTGTAAAAGAAAAGAAGAGAAGAGGAGGAGAGGATCTAACGTGCTAACAAACCGTTGCCTTTTTTAGTTGGAAAAAAAAAAAAAAAGGAATAAGAAGAAGAAGAAGCAGAAAACGTGAGAGAGGAGAGAATTTGTGTGTTAGCTGAATGGTTTCTTTAGAATTAACAAATGATTTTCTTCAAATAGATTGTCTCCATTGTTCAAGATAATAAATGATTTTCTACTTTTTTTTGTATGTTATCGCTATTATAAATTTGATAATTTAATTCTACTTCATGTAAATTAGATTTTAGGCAAAATATACTTTGTACTCGTTATATTATTTAATATTATTTATTCTAACCGTTCCATACGGATGTGATACAAACATAAACCCTGGATTACTCAAAGTTGAAACAAACCAGCTCTTCCATCCATTTTCGTTAATCAAGTGTCATCGTATGATTGGTTAGACATTAAATGAAAAGATTGGTTTGTCCCAACTTTGAGTAGTATATGATTTATTTTGTACCATATAGAGGTAAAAATGGATAATACTAAATAGTACAAAGACGAGGTGTGTATTTTACTCATTAGATTTTGTGAGAAATTAATCATGCAAAGCACACACAATAATCAAGAACGCAAAATAAATCAATCACAAAATTTACTTGAAAAATACTCTCCATTATAGAGGAAAAAACCACAAGACCAACTCCAAAATAATTCACTATAATAATAAAATAAAAAAATAAAACAATAACTCAAATTTTTTTGTAAACTTGAAAAGCAAAAATATTGATAATAATACAAGTTAACTCTCTAGTTAAATTCGTAACATGATAAAAGGTTGAACTTTGCAAAATTTTCATATTTCTACAAAGTTTAATACTATGTGAAATCATCACTTTGAGCACCGCAACTCTTTATAATAGTAGTACTTAAAAGCCAATGATAGAAAAATCATGGTTTTCTTCAAATAGAATTCCTCAAAGAATTTTTTTTAAAAAAAAAAAAAAAAAAAAACCATTGCTTACTTTTCATTTTTCTTCAATTGCTCTCTTTAGAAACTTTGTATAAAAGAAAAACAAACTCTTTCTTTTTATATGCTTATCTTAGAATATCGACCCTAGTTAGCCCAATTTGGTTTGCTATGATAGACTATTATGACTTAAGATCGTTAATAAGAACTAGTATATGTTTCTAAAAATATATATCAATTTTTTTTTGATAAACTCAAATATAATATTGATTTGAGTTTTATGTAGAGAGTTCAAACTCTCTATCGAGATAAAGAGATATCTTTAATAAATAAATCTATGTACATATAATCTATGATACATAACGTAAACCTAAATTCTCGGCTCATGTGTTGAACTTCTCCCCTTTCCTCTCTTAAAAACTTCTGAACCACATTAGGGTAGTCCAATAAGTCTGTACAAATTATTGGTGCACTACGTACGTGATTGCACCATCCGCCCGGCTTACTAATCGATCCATCGATCGGATCGCTTTCGTATAGTCACATACTTTGACATTGATATCAAAGCACAAAATTGGTATATGTGATCTCTTACATTAAGATGAACTTTCTGTAATTTTTTCATGATGTTTCATGATTTATTTGTTTTAATATGATTTTTCTAAATTTTTAGAAAAGAAAATTCATATTAAACAATCTAGTTTTTTAAAATCATAAAAATTTATCAGAATGCATGTTTGGTGTGGTTTAAACACATATTAAAATTTTAGATTTATTTGATATCGGATGCCTTGAAAAAAGTTATTTTCTATTCGAATATTTTAATTTGAATATTTGAAAATATTGTTCGAATCATGAGTTGATTTTTTATATTCGATAATTTGTAATCTCCATATGTTATTTTTAAATCTTCATAATTTTTAGATTTGTATATGATTTATTATGATATTCTCATAATTCATATTTTTTCATAAAATTTGTGATTAACTAGGAATTAATTTTACACACAACTACTCTCAATAATTATGTGTGCATTTCAAACACTAGTTTAAAGATATTGGATTTAAAAATCGATTGCACTATTGAAGTTCAATTTTTATTTTTATGCAAAATTTGAGAATTTTTCTATTTTGGGATGATTTATTTTTATTTTTTGAAGTTTTTAAGGTAATTAAATTCATTTTAATTGCCTAAATTATTTTAAAAAAATTCCAAAAAAATGCGTGTGTTTTAAATATATTGGTTAAGGATTCAAACTATTTAGATTGAATTTTTTCATGATTTAGGTAATTATTTGTTAATTATGATCCTAAAAATTCAATAGTAGCTTTTAAATCAGTTTTAAATACCTATAAAGTTCAAAAAATTTCACAAATTCTAGATATGTTCTAGAAATAACTTTTGAATTTCTAGATTTTTTTTCACAATTTTTTGAGATATGGGATCATTTTTCATATACATTTAATTACTTTAATTACCTAGAAAATTATCGAAATTTTGGGTATACTCTAGAAAAATATGTGAGGTTGTAGACTACCTAAAATCATTATTTGATGTATTCTATTATTTTTTGTGAAATTTAATTTCCTAAATCGGATCTTTAATATTATTTAAAAATCCATATAAATTTATAAACAACTTAAAAAAAAATTGACTTGACAACAATTCACTTGTGTTTGTGGACTATTTAGATTAATTTTTCAATTTCAAATTCCCATTTTTTTGTATTTATGATCTTATAATCGAATTAGTTTCAATTGTATATTAAAGAGTTATTTAAAATGGATAAAGGAATATCAAATATGTTTTGAGCCTCTATAATTTATGAGTTTTGTACTCAAAATTATCAATGCATTTGTTTTGTCGAAAGGGGCTCGTGAGAAATGGAGTCGCCAATAAGCTAATCGAGGAGAGCTAAAAAACTCTAAATAAACTGGTTTGCATGGATATATAGGTAAGGAGTCGGTTATGTATAAGGAATAAGTAACATCACTATCATCCTATCTTATCAAAGAGAGGTTGCATTACTTGCATGTGAAAATAAGAATATAATTTTACTATGTTATGTTTATATGCCTATTTGAGTGAATTTATTGTGTTGGGATGAAATAATTGAGTATTCAAGATTCGGACCGATCAAAGACCAATGTCCATACTCAAAAGGGGAGAGGTGAGTAAAGATTGAAATTTTAGCTAATCTTTAGCGAGCACAAACCTATATCGACAAATAGATAAGCTTCAAAGATTGGGAGCCTATATTGACATAAACAAGAAGTCATCGTTAACTTCACTCATACAAGAGGAAAGCCATCGACGACTTCAAGTCATGAGTTTAGAAAGTATTGTCATATAAGTAGTAAGCTACCAACAACCTCTATTTTACTCGAGCAAAGAGTAAATAATTGGTTTAAAAGTCATTGACAACTTCTTCACGTGAGTAGGAAGTTATCAATAGCTTTATTTTAAATGAATAAAAAGCAAGTAAATTGATTTAGAAATCATTTGTGGCTTCATCCATACGGGTGAGAAGCCATCGACGACTTCATTTCGACAAACAAAAAGCAAGTAAATTGACATGAAAGCCATAAGTAGCTTTGATGACACGGGTGAAAAGCCATCGACGACTTCATTTTAAACAAGTAGGAAGTCAAGTAATTATGCATTGGACATGAATATTAGACATTCGGTATGTCATATTCAAGGTTTTCAATCAATCATCCAATCACAAATATCACATTCAAATGAAAACACCGGGGTTGACATTTATCGTCCTCCCAACTTTATCGCGAGCATTGATCAATCTACCTTATTTATCCTCAAAATACCCAAGGTCGTCGACCACTTTTAGGTTCGATATACAACGGCGTATTTAATCATACTTCAAATTTCTCAACAATTACAACAAAAAAAATTTATATTTTCAAAATAAAGCAATTTAATCGATAATTTCAAATGGGAATACATTTTTTAAGGTTATCCAAATAGATATTGGAAAGTATTGAAACTATCCGAAGTCTTATTTGGGGTTAGTTTCACTTTCTTCATCCCCAATGAAAACCGATTATTCAATTAGGCGAGGGAAAACAATGCCGTTGAAGCATTGAAGATGCTATTATAAAACAACTAAAATGCCCCTCGTCATATGTGAAATGACTAAAATTCTCATAGGCCAAATTATCAACATATTGCTAAAACCACCTCCAACATTACTTCGACTACTCCGATCACTATTCGGTGATGCGTGGGCATATGG